TTAATTTCCCTACGACACGCTGTAATCGAGATGCAACGGCAGCGGATATTATCTTGAAATCGACATTAAGGAGGGTGATAGGGCGCCATGCTTTGACATTATCGGGTGCTTTTCCGGGTTTTGGAATTAGTGTAATTATACCTTCCCTGTGTGATTGTAGCATTTTTCCCCTGATTGACGGAGAAAGTAAAGGCTCTGTATAGAAAAGGTCCTACCAGGTTCCAGAAGTATCGGAAAAAACATGCTGTGAAGCCATTTGATCCAGGCGATTTACCTTTTTTCATGTTTTTTGCCGCTTCTGTCAATTCTTGGTATGATAACGGCTGTTCCAAGGCTATTCGTTCATTATTTGATAAAGTTGTGCTGATGTTTGCTGTTAGATACTCACCAACCTCAGGTGGTGTATTGTGTACTTTGTTGTATTTATTTTGCATATCAATTGTAAATATTTTTAGAATTGATGATGTTTGTGTTATTATCTTATTATTTACTTTTAATGTTGACACATTTTTTCTCAGAGCATTTCTTTTCTCTAATCCTAGGAAATATTTTGATGACTGTTCACCTTCTTCATGCCATCTCGTTCTAGACCTCACAATCAGACCATCTATGTATGTTTTTCGATGGTTTTCAAGCTTTTCTTTGCTATCGCGAAGGTGAGTAGCATTTTCATCAGATTTATTTTGTGTGTATTGCAAATATGAATTGTTGATGCTATTCAATAGATCTTTTTCTCGTTCTCGCCGTTGCCTGGCCTTTCTTTTCGAAAATTTTACTGTTTCTCCTCTTATTAGCATTATCATCGTTTCATAGAATAAATCATCATTGATACGGAGTTGGATATGTTTATAATTATTAATGCTTGACAAAAAGCTGTGTGAGTAGACGGGGACGCAATAATCGTGTACTGTTTGATTGATACACTCTGTAACAATCTTAACATATTCTTCATCATTTAGCAAGGATTCATTAAATTTCCATAAACCTGGTCCACGTGATTTAGCAGTCTTTAAGTGTATTGTTAACATGTTATGATCTGTTCGGTATCCTGGGGTTATCGCTATTTCATCACACGAACTGGATAAATGAGCACTGATACAGAACATATCAAGACGTGCGCCTTGTCTGTAATTCGGTTTGTGCCATGTGTATTCTTGTTTTTTTGGGTGGTGCTGCCTCCACACATCCACCAAATTGTGCTTGTTACAAATTTGGATAAACTTTTTTTCTGGCATTTACATTATTTTCACCTACGTAACCAAAGCTATCAAGCTCGGCATTCATAACAAAATTAAAATCACCTCCTACAATAATGTGATCACAATCGACCTCTTCAAGAATTTCGTCTAAGCGGGAGTAAAATTCCGGATCGTCTCGGTTCGGACCGTATATACTGCCTAACAAATGGTGCAGAGAGAGGTTTGTGCTCCGGCGTCCAGTAGTGCGTGCGTGTCACTGCACTCGCCGTCTGGCCCGTACACACGCACTGGTACGACTTGAAGAAGTGTAGACGTGTTGCAGGTCGCATTCAGCGCGGCTCCGATCGTGCGATTAGTTGAGTGCTGCTCTGCTGGATCCATATGTTGGGTTTGCTCGAGCGCGGCAGCCTGCTCCGTTCCACGACGCTCGAAAACACGCTGGCTGCCATGTAGTAACTGGTGGTGTCTGCCTCCACAGCCGGCAGAACTGCACTGTTGGACAGATGTGAACGGGCACCTTCTCGAGATGTGTCCCGTCTCCAAGCAGCGAAAACATCTGTCATTGTCAGCGATGTATCGAGCTCGTTCCGACACCGACTTTTGGGCAAATGCATTGCAGCGAGCCAAGCTGTGTCGGCGATTGCAGAGGGGGCACGCCGGCTGGGAGCCATGCTGAGTGGCCACCGTGGCGAGAGCCGAACGCGCACTCGATCCATGCCTCTGACGCGACGCCGGCGGTCGGCGCTGACTGTCTGCCGCTGAGCTGATGCCGATGTTTCCTTCACGCTCAGACATTGAGCTGCTGAGCAATATCCGGACTTGTAGAGCTAGCCAGTCATCCAAATCTGACAGTGTGACTTGCCTTGGCTCCAGCTCTACTGCTCGTTTTCCCCACTCGTGACGGAGTTGAATCGGCAGCTTCACGACTGCTCGTCGCAAGTTCTCGCGGCTCGTGACGTCACCATGATAGCCGAGCGATTGGAGAGTCGTAACCGCGGAATGGAGCCGAGCTTGAAACTTTTCTAGGGCTGCTGCGTCGAGGTGCTTCAGAGGCTGGCTCTCGAAAACAGCCCTCAGGTGTGCAAAAACGATATCGTCACTCCTGCCGAATCGACTTTGGAGAGCTTGTAGCGCCTGCGGGTAGAGCTCGCCATCGTATAGCATCCCTTCGATTGTTTTCTGCGCCAGACCAGTGACTGCCGACTGTAGATGAACGATTTTTTCTGCGTTTGACAGCCCTGGTTGCTTGTGAATCAGCGCCTCGAAAAGTCCAATCCACTTTGGCCACTCCAGAGGCTCACCCGAGAACTTCGGCAGTGCTATGCGCGGCACGCTGTGGAGCTCGGTGTGGCGCGCTGTCGTCTCTCTCTGTTGAGCTGGTGAGGCCTCAGGACCGTTCAGCCTCCTGATCCAGTCTGCTGTTCTCAGGTTGTTTTCACCAACGTTCGCGCGTTCATGCTCAACTTCACAATCGGCAACAGCAGCTTCGTCTCTGATGTCATCAGTCCTATCCAAATTGACTGTCCCTGACTCAATGGCTTCTTGCCGCAGTCGAGCTTCAAGTTCGGCTGTTTCAGCCGCTTCTCTAGCCGCCTGAATCTTCAGGTTAAATTCCTTTTCGCACTGAAGACGTTTTTCTTCCTGGCGACTCTTCAAGGCGGTCAGACGGGCCTGAATCACAGCCTCATGTGACTGAGCCACAGCTGCCGTCGAACGATGAGACGACGCTGCACCAGCTTCAGAAGCGGCCTCGTCAGATCTCGATTGAAGGTAAGTCATTATCTTTTGAACGATACTGTTCCGCTGCGCTTCGATTTCAATCATGTATTCGTTTGCCTTCGATTTCTCTTCCTCGTCCGTCAATACCAGCAAGTATGACTCATTGGAGTCCGTCACTGTGTCCATTGCACGGTCAATATCACCGAGCAGCTCTTGGAGAATGGTACGACTGCCTCGAACTGCGATCAGATTCTCGGCTCGATTGCAGATGCGTGTCAAACACGACTTCTTGTTTGCTCGGATCCGCTTCACTCTTGCTGCTTCGGGTGATTGATCCATGTTGATTATTTGCTGATGTTGAGCAGCACGATCATTCAGAGCATACGTTGTTATGCTTAGAAGCCATGCATTGCGCGGAACGTTACGTTATCTGTGGCCATTACGTTAAGTGCGAACGATGCGAAACTCAAAAACGTAACTTAATTCACGATAATGACGTTAGAGCGAACGACGATATAACGCTCAAAGGCTCCATTATTCGTGAACATTACGTTAGAGCGAACGAGACGACACACAAATTACGTTATCCACGACCCGGAGGACCAAAAAAATGTTGCGAACGAATTGAATCCGACCCGATCGACCGGTAAAGTTACGAATAAGCAAAATCCGAATAATACGGAAGTCGAATTAAACTTGTTCCGAATCGATCAATCTATATTGTCCGCCATTTTTTCCTTCTAATTTTCAACGAGTTCATTCACACGACAACAATAGCACCGACGAAATTCCGATTGCGTGAAAATATGCAAAATGGCGCGTGCCATAAAACACTGGAGCCGCTACGGCGGCGACATAGGCTTTCTCAGAATCCCTCATTACCCCCATCGAAAGGGCTCCATTACCCCCAAAGGGGGCATGCCCCACCATTTGGCGACCCCTGGGCCGTATGGCGATGGCTTCACCGACTTCATGATAGGTTCGCGCCTCGCGGCCGAGCCTCAGCCCGGTTATTTGACAAGCGCTTAATCTAATATCGTGGAAAGTGAACAGTTTGCTTGGTGTTCTCCAATTGCTGGTATAATTTACCTATGTTGATAAAATTTTGAAAGTTGGACCTGGCGTCAGAGAGCAACGGGCGCTTACAGGCATGTATGAAGAATATTCTTTGACCGCGATCATTGACCTGCAAAATAGCCTGAGAGCTTGCCGGGTCTTTTATATAATTAATTGTGCTTAGAGCTGTACCAAACAGGGCCTCGGATAACATGTTAACGGGGTGGGCAATTGCCCACCCAGTGACAATTTTTGGCAATGTATTTTTGACTTACGAGTATCTGCGGAAACCAAGAGGGGGGGGGGGCTAATGCGTCCCTGCCACTAATAGGGCTAAGGCGTGAAACATGTAGGAAATGCTATGCAACATCAACGAGTCAGTCTTTTTTCTATGTGTTTTACAAAACAAACAGAAAGCTGGCCAGAGAGCCGTTTTCGCCTGAACCATTGGCAGTGTCAGCGGGCGACGGGTCGGATTGTCCTGGCACACTGCCAGCATCACTCAGTTCTCGGAATTCACTAACAGTCCTCGGAAGGCGTGCCGAGAATGCCCTGAAGGATTATTGCCCCGGAGGCTTTCAAGGCTATAAGCATGAAGCCTTACCCTTGTAATGTTTCTGTTACCTGTCAGTGATGTGTCGGGCCCGACGCAAGAGGTGAGGAGAAATGAACTGTGTAGAAAATATCAGCTATTTGTTCGCCTAATTATCTGAACTGTAGATAATGTCAGCTATTTGTCAGCATGATAGGTTGATAGATAAAAATGAGCGTTGACCTTCTGAGAATCAGTTGGCCGAAGTATGTGGCTCGATCATTTCTTCTTGGCGAGAGGAAAATGGAAACGGCTCTATGCCATAAACATGAGTATTGCAGCGCATATTTTCTAGGCACAGCTTACAGCACTTCAGGTGAAAGTTATTGAGCCAGGTGAACTATGCTAGCCATGTGCAAATAATCCCAAAATAGCCGATCCTGTTAATGAATGTTATTAAATGCTAAACCCCAGCCCCAACCCCAACCACTTACCTCGAGTGAGCTCCTCAAGGCCACATTGCAGCCGCCGTCGCTACCGTCTGCGCCTGAGACCGGTACCACTGTTCACCCCAGTCCTCACGTTCCCCGGCATTCCACAGCGCCAGGACCGCTCACTATAACCGGGCCGGTCACCGCCGCCGCCAGGACGACGTCGACGCCTAACTAGCGTTCGACGATGGCCGGCGGCCCTAAGCACGCCAACCTCGGCGCATGTTGTTCGGCTCTCCCACTGCCGCTATATTTACATCCAAACTTGAGGCGGCGCCAACGTCGCTCCAGACGCCCGCGGGCCGACCGGTCGCTCCGAGGCTGACCGTCGTGGGGGGCGCGCAGTCCGACGCAGGTCACAGAGGGACGAGGTCCGACGCAGGTCACAGAGGGACGAGGTCCAACGCAGGCACACACATATCAGAGCTGAAGGGCGACAGCTCTCCGACACAGACGTCTGGTCCCTAGCCCGGGCCCGACGCGGGTTCCTGCAGTGTTACTGGTTAAAACCCGTGGTGCATCACAAACCATTCCCATGTTTGTAGACGGTGGATGGCCTCTCAAAAGTGGTACTGGCCAGACCGGGCCTTACGAGCGAGCGTGGAGCACAAAGCGAACTCTTCGTATGCCTAATTATGACCTAGCATCAGTGTCAATAACTGCCATAATTTGGAAAAAATAAGCTTTCGGCGCCGTAGCCCCGTAAATCGGTATTTATCAGTTCCTCCCAGGGATCGAGAGGTGCATCTTATTTTGTTGTTCGGTGTAGGCATCAGAGAATACAATCTGTTTTGGCGTTCAGTCTCTCCAGGACGTGTAGTTTGCTTGTCGTTCAGTTTATATTCTGCCCGACAGATGCTATCTGTCTGGTCGGTACGTCGTGATAGGTGCAGTCTGTTTTGTCGGTACGTGCATGTAAGAAAGAAGCCGTCTGTTTTGTTGTTCAGGCTGTTGGAGAGGTGAGTCATGGTGTTTGTCGTCCAGTCAGCCCGACACAGCACCGTCGCCGACTCGCCACAGTCGTGTAAATACGTGGTTAGAGAGCGCCCGATAGGTAGCAGATAGCGCTTATACGTGCGGCTCACTGATCGCAGAGCAGCGAGCCAGATAAGAGCAAATGAGTGCATTCATGACAGGTCCGTATACCTATATTAGTTTCCCTCTGAATAATTTTATTCGAAAGCCAGTTTTAGTTTAGCTAGGCTAGGACTAAATCAACTTGCAGATCAGAAGTACCTAGTCACTCCGAGCGTGCACACAGTGCAGCTCACTGGCAACGCAGGGAACATTTAAAGCGGATATGAATTATGCATTATCGGCAACAGCGATTGTTCTCTGGATCCGCCAATGTTGTGGTTGCAGTGTCTGACGTAAGATGCACTGTGTTGCATTACAAGGACGGTGTGAGCGGGCCTCAGCGACCGGTCCTGTGGCCTTATCGAGGACTCCCGACAGCCGCGTGATGGGCGAATTTCGGGCCGGGCGACCCGTTGGACCAGTTGGACGGCAGAGCAGTACCTACGGTCGGCGGTCGCGGGGGGCGACATCGGACGGGACGGGCATTACAGACCACAGTGCGGAGTGTTGTGATGCGCTGCTCCGCTGATAGTGAACCGGTGAATATCTGCGGCGCTGATAACAGCGGAACGGTGGATATCCGAGGCGCTGATAACTGTGGACACAGTGCGGTTCGTCCGTTATCAACAAGCAATCATCGCCTGGTGAATACTCGTGCATGTGGTGCTGAGATGTCCTACTGGCTTGTGACTTGGTTGTGCAATGTGCAGTGCACAAAGCACCTAACTTCATTTACTGCATCAGCTGTTTGACAAATTCAAATGGAGCCATAGAATCTCGATTTTTGTTTTATCAACTGGTGAAAACTCACGCAAGTGGCTGTCACAAGTGGATCGCACCATCGTAAGTGGATCATGTCTGAGGAAGCTGACAGACAGCGTCTCCTAACTGGCCAAACGGAGGACGGCGGTCAAAACCGCCGCTATGGAGCCTGCGAATGCCAAGACATCAACCAAGACGGTCCTAAAACTGTCTTCAGCGCCGGCGTCCAGCCCGGTCTGACGGAGCCGGCGGCGCCTCTGACGCGCAGAGAGCAGAGACTGCTGGGCTGTCTGGCGCTGGTGGGTCTGCTGAGTGGCTCTCTGTTGGTGGTGATGATACCATTCTTCCCGGTGGAGGCAGCCGCCCGCGGGCTCTCCCAGACCACCATCAGTGCCGTGTTCAGCAGCTACGCGCTGGCGCAGACGGCGGCCAGCCCGCTGGTCGGCCGGCTGGCGCCCGTGGTGGGAGTCACGCGGCTCTACACGCTCGGCCTGGCCACGGCCGGCGTGACCACGGTGGTGTTCGGCGCCCTGCGGCACATCGTCGACCCGCGCCTGTTCGCGGCGGCCTGTCTGGCGGTGCGGCTGGTCGAGGCGGCCGGCACCGCCGCTGTCTCCGGCTGCGCGCTCACTATCATCGCCAGCCAGTTCCCGACACGCACTAGCCGTGCGATAGCGCTAGTCACCGCCTCCCAGGCCGTCGGCATGGCCGCCGCCCCGGCCATCGGCAGTGGCCTGTTCGCGCTCGGCGGCTTCTCGCTGCCCTTTTACGTGACCGGGGCGGCCCTGCTGCTAGTGGCCTCCCTGAACCACTGGCTGATGCCGGTCGTGGAGCGCTGCCACCGGCCCGCGGTGCCCTACCTGAGCCTGTGGCGGGTGTTCGCCAGGTGCCCGGAGAACTGGCTGTGCCTGCTGACCGTGTTCCACTACTCGCTGGTGCTGCTGACGTTCGACACCTCCGTGGCGCCGTACGCCGACCGCACGCTCGGTGTCACGCCCTCCACGCTCGGACTCTACTTCACCGTCGCCACGATCGCGTTCGCGCTCACCGCCTTCGTGTGGGCGCGGGTCGCCGAGACCTCACGACGTCCACACGCGTTCATCGGCCTGGGTCTGCTGGTGGTGTCAGCCAGCCTGCTGTTGGCGCCGCCATCGCCGCTGCTGGTCGGTCTCCAGCCGCACTGGTGGCTCCTCGGCCTGGGCATGACGCTGATGGAGGCGTTCTTCGGCGGCGCCTACATCCCCTCGTTCCAGCTGATGCTGGCGGCAGGAGTGGGCGCCGGACTGGCCGACGACCTCATCAGTCAGGCGCAGGGGCGGATCCAGGAAAACTCCAAGGGGAGGGTCATGAATCGAAGTGGTGCCCCTACCTATACCCAAAATTAAAAACTCACAGGATTTCGTCCACTTCATTTTGGTGGTGCCCCCATTTTCAGTTTTTTTCTTTTATTTTTTATTTTTAGTCAGTATCTTAACTCTTAGCCACAACCACATTTACCAATTGTAAGCAAGTATATGAATGTGCTATGTGTATTGTGTATACATATATGTTGTGGACGCTGAGTAGTGAGTACTTACCAGGAACGTTATCAGGTAAGCAAATCGTTGTCAGTCCGACGAACTTGACCCTGGCGTCTAAAGGGTCTGTCCTTGACACTTCAGGCTTGTCAGGGGCACCAAAGTCCTTCCAGGGACACCACAAACCTGTCAGGGGCACCTACGGCCTTGTAGGGGCGCCACAGGCCCGCCAGGGGCACCACAGGTCTAGCAAGTATACACGACAGGCCTGTCAGGGGCACAACGGGCCTGTTGGGCCCATGAGCACCCCTAGGGGCAGGGGCACCACAGTCCTTCCAGGGGCACCGCAGGCCTGTGAGGGGCACCAGCGGCCTAGCAGGGGCACCAGTCAACACAGGTCTGCCAGGGGCGCCACAGACCTGCCAGGGGCACCACAGACCTGCCAGGGGCACCAGAGGTCTGCCAGGGGCACCACCGGCCTCGCAGGGGCACCTTGGGCCTGTCAGGGGCACCACGGGCCTGCCGAGGGGCACTTCAGACTTTTCAGAGGCACCAGTCCTCTCCGGGCGCAGGGGTACCAGCGGCCTAGCAAGGGCACCAGAGGCCTGCCAGGGGCACCAGCGGCCTAGCAAGGGCACCAGAGGCCTGCCAGGGGCACCACAGGCCTAACAAGGGCACCACGGGCCTGTCAGGGGCACCTCAGGCGGCTTGTCAGGGCCCAGGGACACCACAGTCCTTCCAAGGTCACCGCAACCCTGTCAGGGGCACCAGAGGCCTGCCAGGGGCACCACAGGCCTAGCAAGGGCACCACTGACCTGTCAGGGGCACCTCAGGCTTGTCAGGGCCCAGGGGCACCACAGTCCTTCCAGGGGCATTACAAGCCTGTCAGGGGCACCAGAGGCCTAGCAAGGGCACCACAGGCCTGCCATGGACACCACAGGCCTGCCAGGGGCACCACCGGCCTTGCAGGGGCGCCTCAGGCCTGTCAGGGGCACCACGTGCCTGCCGGGGACACTTCAGGCTTGTCAGGGGCGTTACAGTCCTGTCAGGGCCCAGGGGCACCAGGCCCGTGGTGTCCCTGCTAGGCCTGTGGTGCCCCTGGCGGTCCTGTGGTGCCCCTGTCAGGACTGTGATACCCCTGATAGGCCGGTGGTGCCCCTGGCAGGTCTTTGGGCCCCCGGGCCTCAAGGGGGGGGCCATGACCCATGTGGCCCCCCCCTTGGATCCGCCCCTGGTCAGGCGTTCGTCTCCGGCGTGCTGTGGACGGCTCACTCGCTGGGCAGTGTGGTCGGCCCGCCGCTCGGCGGCCTGGTCGTGGACCGGTACGGGTTTCCCGTGATGATGACCGGTCTGTCAGCTCTGGTGTTGGTGGTTGCTGTGATGAATCTGTGCTACGCCGGCTGGGTCGCATGCCGCCCAACCTCAGCCAATCCCAGCGAGTCAAACTCCGCGGGTGAACGCATTCAGAGCAAGGCATAATTGTTTACTAAAAAGTGTTTTTATTACCTGTTTGAAGCGTGTACGTCATTTTTTATGCCTACGTGTGTTGAAAGTGAACCGATTCGCGAAGCTCCAGCCTCCATGACAATAAAAATTGTGCTTGGGCATTAGCCGGTTCAAAATAATTATAATCTATACTTATCTGATATAGTTGATGGCCTATAGGTAGGACTAATCACGGGTGACGTGAGGACCAATGGGCAGGTAACGTAAGACATATGAGCATGATTGTAAAAGAACAAGTAACAACTGAATTTTATTAAAAGGTATGTACTAGCCGTCTCATCACTGTAGCAAATAGCGGGCGGCGAAGCGGATCCGGTCCCGTTGAGCTTCACCGACGCTATAAACGTCTCTGTGCACCGCTAAATTGAGATCGCAATTAATGCCCCACCGGATCAGCCACGAATACGAAGCTGAGCAGCCACACCAGCAGCGGCAAATTAATTTCCAGTAAGCAATGCAATTTGAGCGAGGTGGGCCGCTAAGCCGCGGAGGGGCAATAGGTTCGTCCGGCCAGCCGCCTAGCCTTCATTATCGCGCCCGTAAAAGGCGGATTGCTCATTACCGGCTACTGGCGTAAGATTCCTGAGTTCTGACAGCACGGGACAGGACAACACGGGACAGCTACTGACATTATGGGACAGATGTTTGTCTGACAGCAAGAAACAGCTAATACGACAGTATATGTATACCAGCGCGGGTCTGTTCGACGTCCTTCCTAGTTCCTTACTTATTTGTTCCGTATTTAGGTGGTGAGGACTGAGGAGGCTACCCGACTGTGCATGACTGTCCCTCCAATGGAACGAAGTCGCTTAAAAAAGACAGCTCTTCCAGCATTGCAAAGGCGTCCACAGAGCACCAATGCAATGCCTCCCAGAGCACAGAACACAGGACAGTTCCCAACTCCTCCCACAGCCCATGGACCGCCCTTGTCTACTAACCATTTACCACGCTCCCTCGCCGGCCCGGGCCCTCGCACGCCGGACGTCCGGGACCGACTGTATACATACATCAGACGTGCAAACAGCGCCGGGTACCCGAGGACTGTTCATTGGGGAACGGACTTCCAGTCGCAAACATCCTCCGGCATCTCAGACTGGACGCGACGCGGACATATTGGTCCGTAAGGAATAAGGTTGGAATCGAATAGACAAATGGCCTGAGTGAAGGAAGGATTTGCTGACTGAATGACGTGAATTAGTGATCCCGAATGAAAAAATGAGTCGTTGATGGAATGACCGGATTCAATGGCTGGATGGTCTTTTGAAGAGATGGTTGGTATGATAACTTATTAACACCGCTCACCCGCCGCACCAGCAGCAGTTATGGGAAACACATTGCAGCACAATTATAGCTGTACACTAGGGTGTAATGTACGCTAAATGATGCCATCTGATGGGTGAGAACTGAGCAGTATATAGTTACGTGCGAACTCGCATCTGCAATGCGGTGATAAGAGAGACAATGCGTGTGGTTTTTACACACATTTGTTGTGATTGAGATGGTTGCGTGGCTGGAAGCAATGGCAATTTTCTCTTGACAGAAATATCGCTCCCTGTATCACGGAAGATAAATATATGACAAATGCGGCACTAGTTTACAGGTGTATTCACATCATATGTTGGCTATAGATGCACGCACAAAGCATGTCACGAACACTCGGAGAGACTGCAGGAATTCACGGTGGCGGTAGCATCACTTATTTGTCGGGGATGTTCTCCAGACCCTGAAACACCAGAAAACTGTGTTACATCTCACTCATCAGTGCTAAATTACCGCTTATTATACTTTAATAAATTTAGTGTTAATGCTTTAACCCTCGCCGGTCGAGGGGGGTGGAAGGGTGCCCCCCTCCCCCCATAGGACTTTTTTCACGATTGCTCGGAACAAGCCGGCGATAAACAGCTGAAACTTGGCATATCTGACCTTTCATTCAAGCCGGAGCTTGCGACACCAGACGCATTTTCAGGTCACGTCACGTCACTGACCTATGACGTCATAAGTGGACCTCTGCGCGGTCCTAAGATGACGCAACTTCGCAATGGCCTCAGCGCCAGAGCAGCTTCCACAGGGAGATGAAACTTCTAGGACCTAGTATCCTCCAGAGTTCTCATAACTTGTATATTTCGGATTTCTCCTTACGGTCACATGAGGTCAGGTCGGTCAAGTGACCTCACCATTATGGCATTAAAGGAAATAGTTCACTTTTAACATGGGGTTTGGAACTGGAATAGCAGTTTTGTTGCTTGCGCTGAGACTAGCACAAATCAGAAGCTTTTACGGCCCAACGATCACCCTAGACGAAGATATTCCATTTTTCGTTCCGAAAAGAGTGCCTTGCAGAGGAATGCGTGCCTTGCTGAGGAATGCAGTCACGTCATCGTCAGCCAATCAGAATGCTGCTTACAGCCGATGGGTTTGTCCTACGCAATATGATTGGTCAACGCGTAATAAGCTTCCGCGTCAAACATTATTTTATATAGAATATAGTTCTTCTTATACTAAAATATAGAAAATAATCCTTTTTACAAAAACGTTTTGTTTTATTTTCTGATCATTTTGAGCATAAAAAAACATAAATCCATAGCAAAATACTAATTTCAGGAAAGTGAACTATTTCCTTTAAAGCCTGGCTACACTATGCGTTTGCTGCGTGCGTTTTTTTGCGAGTTTGCGTGATTTGCGTAATATCGTTCTAGAAAAAAAAAGTTATTATTAATACAGCTTCTTTAATATTTATATAAAAGTTAATTTAACGTTTATATTAATTAAAAGTTAGTATGAAAAACATAACAAAAACGCAATGTCGTTACTTTCTAGAACGACATTCCACAAATCACGCAAACTCGCAAAAAACGCACGCAAAAAAAACGCATGTAGCCAGGCCTTTATAAGTCAATAAGGGAAAAATGAAAACTGCTATTTTGGCGCCGGGAACGATCTCAGACTATTCCAACCAACCGGTCCACACCGGAGCAATCCTTGCAACGACGTGCGATGTGTCACTTTTGCGATGTTGACCTTGCGTGATGTCTAGGGTCATAATAGTTTTTCGCCAATACCTGATCAAATTGAGCTAACGAGTCGGGAAAGCCACTGATGAACTCAGGGAGACCTGCCGAATAAAATGATATGCAATATGAGCTCCTCCGACCAAACTCGTGATTTGGGGGCGCTGACCTGACCTTGACCCGAGGTCAACATCTGAAAATGACCTCACCCGAGCAAAAAGTATACCATCCGACGCGCCTGAGCTAGGCGAACACGATGGTACAAAAATCGCGGCTCTGCGGCCATTTTTGCGAAGTTATTTACCAAAAACCAAGTCAGTGCCTTGGGTCCCTTCATCTGACCTCCCCTCGGCTGGAACGTAAATAGAAAACCAATAGGTTCGGCGAGGGTTACGGGATGGATTGAAGAAGTGAAAAACTGTGCTACGCCGACCTTGCAGCGCAAACCCTGACCTTTATCATATGATCGAATCGTAAAGTAAATGATGTCGGAAGCTTTTAGGGCTTAAATTGCCCTAAAAGCTTCCGACATCATTTACTTTACGATTAAGTCCGCGTAACTAAGTCCGTTGAAAATGAAATGCCTGCCCGCGACTGTCTCCATCAGCCGCAGAACAAATCTGACAGTAGTAAAATACCTGGTGCCAGGATGACCATAATTAATGTCTCGATTCACCGCTGGCTACTAGAAATCTGATCATTTACCAAGCTATGAAACAACAGATAAGATAATTTTTTGCTGCTTGCTATGCAAGTGACACCAGGCCGATTGTATTCATAAGCCTATGCCACACTAAAAACGTTCATACGGGATAATTGCTGAGACAGAATTTGGGAGGGCACTTTGCAATGGCTCACCTTCCATTTGTAGTAGTCTCCAAAGAGCCTCTGGTCTCTCCTCAGCACTTGTCTGTTCTCGAGGTATTTCAGTGACTTAACGTTGGGCTGAAACACACCAGGAATCAATCAGAAAAGCATAGACAACTGTTAATTGACACTCTACAAAATGAGAACTAGGACGTTAACAATTTATTTGTGCATGTTTCATTCATCTTAAAAATCAGCACACCCATTCAACACAGAAATAAGCCATATTAGTGATGATATTGTCAAGAGCTGCATTGAAAGTGCGTAGATGCTCGACTTCAAGCTGCAACAAGGAGTTTGGAGTAGGTATTCAGCTAGTAAAAAAGACACATTTCAGCATGATAATTCTGATGTCCAAGAAAAAAAGGGTATGCAGAATGCAAATATAGATAGCCCCAAATCACCAATGATTGAGCATATTTTTTTTTCTACACCGCCGGTCCGCCACCCATGAACAGGTGACCAGGAGTGCCCCCTCCCTCTATCCCAGCGACACACAGAACCTTACGTTAACACCAGTGAACTTAAAATGATAAGTCGCGGCACTCCCAGCTAAGAGTAAGGAAAAAAAACAAAAAAAATGCAAAAAACGAGAGAAATATCAGTGGAGTATGCATGCTGTTAATATAGTAGCTTAAGAGAAGCAAAGTAGTCACAACTGAAAACAGTTGGTGACTGCCCTTCTACGCCTGAAACGCCCACTGATGCACACTTACACAGGGTATTGTTAGTGGGAGGAAGGGATTAGAGGGGGAGCAGTCATACATACATGGACGATGGTCGTAGATGGTCATTTCTGGTCAAATTCAAGCAAGGTCATTCACTGAGCCTCTGTAAAGCTGTCCAACTAAGCAGAGCTTGTTGTCAGACAGCCCACAGAGGCCAGTTCCGAGGTGGTTGGAGTAGAAAATTAATGCAATTTAAGCAATATAACGAAAATGAGAGGTAACATCAACGAGAGAAAAAAAAACGGAGAAGGAATACAGTTGGGAAGGAAAGACGGGCAAGAGAACTACTACCCTACAATAAACGTGGTTTTAATGTTTGACGGCCAGACGGGCCGCGAGCCCCCGCCCGCACCTCCGGAAAATCATCTTTCCCGGGGGTGCCCCCTAACCACCGCCCGGGCGAGGGGAGCGCCGACCCGACCCGACAGGCCGGCACCCCGCCCGCCCGGGCGGCCGACCGGTCCCATTCAAGTGGGACCGGTACCCAGGTTGGCCCGGATGGGTCATAGGGGCGGGGGCCCAATGCTCGGCAACTCAGGGCTCCGCCAGGCCGGCGGAGCCCGCCTGGCCCCACAGCAGACCACATCTGCCGTCCACTGTCCGCAACACCTGTCTATTTTAGGCAAATCGTTTTGTTGGAGAAAATGAATCCCTAAATAATGTGCATAAAAACCAGCGTACTATTTATTTGCTAGAAGCGTATATTGATGAAAGCTACTGTATTAAGTGAATCAATCATACTGACTTAGGAAGAAAGCTTTAGAGAGCTTTTTGATAATGAATTTCGAATTGGGTACCGTAGATAGTCTAGGAAATAAAGGCACCATTACTCTGTTCCAAACTCTAGGCCCAGTCCATGATAAAGTGTGTGTTTTATAGACTCTATATGTAAATGATTCTTGGAAATGCATTCTTGGAAGCATATGATCAGTTAGTTGAAAATAATATGATGTATGCAGCTGTAGATAACAAGTGTGACTTGGGCTAGGAGAGGTTAGCAGATAATCTTTCTTTGATGTCCCTCACACCATCACATGCACATTGCACATGTCCCTCTGCAGTTGCACTATCAGAATTCAGAGGCAGCTGTACAGGCTTTAGGTGGCAATGTCCCAAAACTAGTCGATTTGGGTGGGAAACGACATCGAAATGAAATTCATTTTCTACTCTCACCACCAAATTTTTAAGAACAATTTTCCACTCCCAACCAAGGAAACCTAGATTTTTACCCATAGAAACTAGAAAGAGCAGTAATTGTGTGGATGCCCGGTTTAGCATCAAACATTCTACACCCTATAATAAAATGCCTGCTTTATGCCGTTTCTCACTCTTTTTGGATCTAATCGAATCAGCAGTTTTCCACTCTCTCCCCTGTTTTTGGTGGGGAATTTTCCCCTCTGACACCCAAGACAAAACTCAATTTTGGGACACTGTTAGGTGGTCATTACATATGTTTAGAGTAGATTGTAAGTAGGTGTTAATTAAGTAGCTTTTAGGTTGAGCTGGAAATAATTGACAACATTTTACACAAAAAGCTCAAAATTGAGTTGACAATTGACATTGGTACCAAATACTAAGCAACTATGATGTCCTTGGCACTAAGAGACAGGCTTTAATCAAAGATCACTAACTAGTAGATGATAAATGTCACATATCAATATCTTCAATTGATAGTAGGTAGTTCATCCCTGTGTATGTGCCCCTTCACCCTCCTTTGCGCTTCTATTCTTTGGCTTATAGGTAAAATATGCATTAAATAATGTTTTAGCAAAACAGCCAGTCTGCCCTAAAAGCAAATTTCTAAATTCTCACATCAAGGAACAATCAACAGTGGACATTGACATAGCTATCAAGAAGTAATGCAAAGGAATGGGTAATCATAGGTATAGCAGGTGTCTCACATGCTGCCACCCTTTGTGAAAAATTGTTAGACTCCAATTCTTAAGATATTTACACAAATTTTGCTGTTGGTTGCACAATACACATTGGTAGGTTGTAGGTTGTAGATTTTTAGGTTGAAGGTTAGTAGGTAAGGTTAGTTCAGGTGAGATTATGTTTTGTTCTGTAGGCTGTTTGTTACTTGAGACTTATCTGCCGTCCAAAGCCAAAACACCGTATGGGCCATTTTTTCCGAAATATGGTTTTTGATACCAGGACAATCCATTTTTGACGCTGCGTTTAGCTGTACCATTTAGGGGAGAGTGGGGAAAGATGCCCAGGGTTTGACTATGTCATATATTATTCGAAAAAGACGATCGGAAAGCCAAAACTTGGAGTTTCAACGGAAGCCGACATCATTTTTCTCCAAAAATATCACACTTTCGTGCCTGAAATATGAAAACTTTTTTTGCTATTAAGCATTTTCCTGAAGAAGTGAAAGGGGGCATCTTACCCCACAGGGTGGAAAAGACGCCCCCTGGCGTTGGGTAAGATGCCCCCCCCGCACTATAAGTGACATAAATAGGCACGTGAATCGCCTGAACGAATCAGTAGTTCCTTCGAGCCTGCAGTAGACACCAAACGTCATCGTAAGGGCCCTCAAAAGTAGTCGTAAGGGGCTTCAGAGGTCATCGTTAGGGCCATCATAGTCCAGCGTGGCCAAACAAGCCTCCGTGGTGGCGTTCGGAGACCACTGTGGGGCCCTTATAGGTCTTCATGATGCTTGAGGGCCCTCGAGCCCATCGTGGGGACCTCAGATGCCAGCGCGGCCCGTGGAGCCAACGTGGGAGCCCTCAAAGGATGTCGTGAGGGGCCCTGGAACCAATAATGGGGCCCACAGAGGCCGTCGTGAGGGCTCTCAGAGTCAGATGCCGCCCAAAAAGTCGCTGTGTGGGCCGAGAGACCGGCATGGGGAGCACTCGACCGTACCGAACTCTCAATAGTCCCAGATCGGCTTTTGTCTCTCATCACAAGTATGTAATAAATGATTTGACGGGCTGCTTGAAGGATAGCCTACGGATTTAGGGGGGCGTCTTTCCCCATCAGGACAGGGGGCATCTTACCCCAAGGTACCGAAGTAACATTAAATCAGCACAATTTGTTAGCCATAAAGCTACACCCTGAAACAAACTGTTTGGGACACAGTACACGCATGTTAATGTATCACGACTATAGCAAGGGACGCAAAAATTATCTACCTTCTTTGATATTTACAATGTTTTGACGCCAAAATATTTTTTGAAAGCAGCAAATAAAAAACATGCAATCACCAGCCAGCCGTTGCCCAACTGAGCTTCGCAAATTTTTGTGCAGTTAACAAGGCAGGCTTCCGCTTTACGCTAAGAACATTAATTTCCAGGTCCGATTCCTTGTTTCCCCGCTAGAGGGGGTGGGGCGTCTTTCCCACCCTGGGCATCTTACCCCACTCTCCCCTATAGTTTTGTATCAAAATTATATTTTTTATTATATCCGATAAGGTATTATGGCTTTTGTGGATAAACCATGATTTAGCTTCTTGGTGCCACCAAAATGCCGTAAGGAGTGCGATTGTGAAATTAATCAGTTGTTTCAAGTAGTCAACTCATGCCAAAACACCGTATCACAGCGATGTGGTCTTTTGGCCTTGGCGGACGCTGAATCTATGCCACTCTCATGCCACCGTTTCACGTGCGATGGGGTCTTCTGGCTTTGAGTTCGAACGAGGTTTCCGACAAAACCAGTGACAAAAACACCGTATTGACTGATATGCGGTATTTTGGCATCGGTTGGTGTCTGTAACTCTCGATCACCTTGAGATGCGCTCTTATGACACAAATGATTCAACGTGTTTAGGAAATAACCGAAGGTTTGTTGTCAATAGTTAAAACACTATTCTTTAGAATTGTGTTTTTCTATTGAAAAACAAATCTGAGTTCCCTGACAATTTGGCAAAAGCTGCCTGAGATCAGTAAGCCATCCAATATGGAGTTCATGACAAAATTGAAGGCGATTACAATAACGGCACAATTCTTAGAGGAATAATATTTAAAGATGTAAGCCGTTAGAGCAATACCTGCCAGACTGTCGCGTGGGCGAAGTGGCTCAGATCGAGGCTGCTCTGAAGGCAGCAAACAGGCGGTCCACCCCACTTCAGGCAAGGAAGCCAGTGGCGAATATCGAAGAGAGGCCGATCGTGAGTGGGCTGACGACGGGGTGACGGTGTCAATATGATGAAAGAGGTGATGATACATAAGATTAGGTCTGGCCATGCTCCTTCGTCCCTGGGTTACGGGTCTTACCCTTCAACTGAACAGTGTGGCAATGCCTGCAAGAACACCCGCAGCGTCCGAAAGGACTGTTATGTGGTGTCCGTTTGCATCGTCTGGAACGTGTAGCCGGACGTGGAACAGCTGGAATTTACTTTTTGCTTGCAACTTGGGTCTTTCACACAGTCCAAAAGTGGACGCTGATGAATGCTGTTCAGTGTTCAGTGTGCAATCGAACCACCTCACAATCCAGACTGACGCTAAAATCGATCTAACATGAAAGCACCGGCATGAACGCCGATGTCGTAGCCATGCCGGGTAAGTTAATCCAGAACTGAATCAGAAATCATTTGGTTTCGGAGCCTGTGAAGGCGGCCGGTGAACGCTTGAATATGCCTGGAACTCAGACTTTCCTACAACTAGAAGATGGCAAAACCTCCGTTGCTTCATTAAACTATTTTTAGCACCGTCTTCTTATTGTAGCACATCTGTAGAAAAGCCCGATGTACGCATCAAACGTTCGCCCCCCCCCCTCGGCCGCTGCCTTCAGTCTCCGACTCTCCGGTATCAAACACATTCTGCTCTCCCCTTTGTAGACTGTGTGAAAGTCCCAAGTTTCAAGCAAAAAAGTGATTCAGCCACGTCCAGATACCTCCAGCCGTTACACGTCCGGCTACACCCGTCCTCCCAGACGATGCAAACGGACACCACATAACAGTCCTTTCGGACGCTGCGGGTGTTCTCAGGCATTGCCACACTGTTCAGTTGAAGACACGTAAGCCAGGGACGAAGGAGCATGGCCAAACCTAATCGTATGTATCATCACCTCTTTCATCATACTGACACCGTCACCCCGTCGTCAGCCCACTCACGATCGGCCTCTCTTCGATATTCGCCACTGGCTTCCTTGCCTGAAGTGGGGTGGACCGCCTGTTTGCTGCATTCAGAGCAGCCTCGATCTGAGCCACTTCGCCCACGTGATAGTCTGGCAGCTGGCAGGTATTGCTGAAATGCCTTAGACCGTAGAACATTCCCCTAATTATTCGTGAATGTTGTCGCGAACTCCATATAGACCAGCCTATTTCCTACACATGATGCAGCATCGATGATTCCGAATGCTGGCAATTATCGATGGATCATTCCATCATGTAAATTGTATGCTTCAACTTTACCGTAACTTGGAGGTCATCTAAGCCAAAACACCGCATTGGGGCATAAAACGCGATACGGTGTTTTTGCTTTGCGAAAAGACACAAAACTTACATACAAACAAAGCCAAAATGGCATATCGAATGTTAAGTAAAATGATAATTATTATTATGAAATTTGAATATATGTATTAATTCCGCAAGATCAGACAATTCTAATGGTCTTTTTCCTATCATTGAATGTTGATTCCTTCACATAGAAATCACACCTCAAAGTAAGCAGGCTTAGAATTGTTCTCCTGTAAAATTTGAAAAACCTGGGATACGGTGTTTTGGCTTTGGACGGCAGTTATCTCAATCTGTGAAATTTGTACAACTGTCTCAAGAACTGAAGAGTCTAGCGACTTTCCACAGATGGGTGGCAGCATGTGAGATGCCTGCTGTATGAAGGTGAACGGCGAAAACAGGGCGCCTGGGGCGAATTGATCAAGGCTTTTGATATGAGCACGTGACAACTTGACAATCATGGGGCCTTACTAATAACTGGATAAAATCAGCTGGCTGGCCAGCTGGTGACGTACGATAGCTATGTTATTTATTGATACAACACGGTAGGAGATGGACAGGAACACGTAAAATGGCACTCATAGAAAAATTACAAGATAGATATTTCGTAATTTGTATCTGGCATTGATTTATAACAAGCTCTGCTAGCGCCAACATATTGTGCTAGCTGGCGATTCGTCCAGAAAATAGTACGGCCCTAACCATGTTATGGAAAGCTTTGGATGGGGAAGAAGGTTGTACATAATAATCAATTAATCACATGACTAAAATGCCCTCCGGCACCCTGTTTTCACAGTCCACCTGCATGAATACCAATGTTAACTCACCTGTTGAGTTAACCTTGGTGTGAATCAAGGAATGAATTGCCCACTTTACTTTTTGACATACCCCAATTAATCTACTACCAGCTAGGTACCATATTTTAACGAAATGTGTTAAAAGTGCATCTCTGTTCGTCCCCCATTTATCTATCAGCAGGCTGCTAGCATGCTGCTACATCTTGGCTCCTCATTGGTCGAATTCAAGTGGTCTATTCGTTAGACCAATGAGAGGCCAAGAAGCGCCACCAATAACTTCCTTATATGGGAAAAACCGACAGCACGCTGATATAAAAACAGCCACCGAACAGGGCCCAGGACAACTGACAGCTCTGTAGGTATAATAATAAATTCCACGATGCTTTGAAAAATCAACAGCTCAGCTTACCCTAAAAAATCATAATCTGAGAATTGAGATTATTGAGATCCAGATTAATGGAAAAATTGAGATTGAATTCAATGACAGCATCAACATTGACATGATACTCACATTCTTGTAAACCAGCTGGTTACAGAAATACATGGCATAACATGGCACACTCAGCGCCCCGACGATTATGCCAAATGAAGGCAATATTTCATACCACATCGTTAAAAATACCAAAAATACAAATGAAATATCGCCTATGCAATGTGGAGGAGAAGATTCGGCAAATTTAGCGAATTTCTCCCGTTCACGATAACAAAATCAAGAACAAATCTAAGTAACATTTCTCCCTAGAAAATCAAATCAAATGTGTACTTTAAAACATTAATTGAATCAACGATAACATTTTAATAATTTTTAATATTGATTTATTAAATAATCTGATATAAGTAAATTTTTACATTATTTGAACTAAAAATATTAAATGCCCACTAGGGTCAGCTAAATCAGTATCGGTGCCTGCTAGCGTCCTCTATTAGCAGTACAACGAACTCCAACATCGCCGTACGTCCGCACTGCACCCTGCCAAGCGTCCCCAAACGCGAAATTTACATAAGCCGAGGTGTGTGAAAGATAACTTGAGTCTCTAACGCTTAGAGCCCCATGTAGTTCATCGGGCAGCAGAATGCTTAAGCGGTAAACGCAGAAGTTTCACAGACGAAAATCGAAATGAAGCAGCTAAGGACTAAGGTCCTACAGTAGCGGCGGAACATCTTCAATCAAGGGGGAGGGGGGCACTGCCGACTTTTGGTCCCATCTTTCCATGCAACGCCCATAGGGCTAATGTTAAAATGCCCAAACCAAAGGGGGGCACGGTGCCCCGGTACCCTACCCGTTCCGCCGCCGATGAGGTCCTATAGTTTTCTAGCCAGTGGCGTATCTAGGATTTCTCTCAGGGGGGATCCGCAGTCAAAAGGGCCCTTGACTGACTGGGTTGAAAGGGCCCTTAAAGGGACTATCCCACCTTCTAAAATGTTGTTAAAACCAGTTAAATTGTGCCCGACTTTATAGATTGGATGACCAGGAACACGGTTCTGACATTTATTTTTCATTAAACATCTTAGGCTTCCCATATTCCAAACACAAACTTTCAAATATGTGACGTCACAGCCCAAAATTACCTCCTTCCCCAGGCCACATTACTGTCATAAAGCTGATTCTTTTTACTCTGTAGGCACCATAACAAAGTCCAGACCAAGTTTTAAGCAATTTTTCAACGAACAAACCCATTTAAATCAGAATGACTAAACGAGGTGACGTCACACTAACGGTCGCTCCATGTTGAAGATAGGGCCTTGTACAAGGCCCATTTTCAAATGAAGGGAACGAATTTCTTCAACACCAAGAGGCCGTGGGGGTTGCAACCTAGATAGATAGTGGTTTCTGAACCTCGCCGCAAACTTGGCTATCTCAACTCAAACCCCATGTTAAAGGTGGGATAGTCCCTTTAAGTGGCAAAAGGGCCCTTGAAGCCTGAGTTGAAAGGGCGTTAGCCCGCGCCCCGTAAAGGGGGGGGGGCGAAACGGCCCGCTCTCCTCTTCCGTAGCTATCTCCTAAATGACTGCAGATATCGCCACCAAACTTTCAGGACCTCTCCGGGCATCCATTTACACATTGTGACCTTTTTCCAGAGGCTATGATAGGTTGGCCGCAAATACGTCAGAATGACGTCATGTTCTGCCATTTTCGACCCAAAGAAGGTTTCGCAGGAAGAGCTATCAGGCCTACAGAGCTGTAGGAACATGAAAATGTTCCGATATAAAAAGTGTACAATTAACAGGCTTAGGTCAAATCTGAGCACTGTTTACAGAAAGTGCGTTAAAAGAGCTTTGTTTGTTTTGTTGGGTTGGACCCAGGCCCTTTCGGCTTTTGGTCTGACAGGCCATTTCAGGGCCGGAGGGATGATAGGAATTGAGGGAGACATTGGTCTGGGCGGGCACCTTGGTGACTCACTGGGGCTGAGCCTGTCCAACAGGACAGGCCGACCAGCCTCCCAAGTGCTCACTGCACCCGGTTATCAGTGTGCTTCCTTAGGAGCTGCAGTGCGCTCCAATGGGAGCCGCCCGCATGGAATAAAGTTGCCCGTCCAGGTCCAGCCCGGATCAGGGGTTGCGGCATGGAGGAGAAGGATTTGAATGTCCTGAGGATGGAAACGGCGAAAGGGGTGTTAAAAGAGCTATTAACTACGCTTTTCCCCGGTACTGTAGCTCTATTCATTTCCGAATCATGCGGTGGTTTGTTGAAAATTGTCGAAATTGGACCTGAAAATTGGCGAAATTTAACCTTGGATGACCTATGTGAACTGAATTTTGAACTGATCTAAAAAGTGACAGGCGTAATTTCGTCATTATTGTTTGCTTGCGTCCCTTCGAACACTGCCTTAGGCGTGTTGGTACGTGGCTCAGAAGCCGAGTTATAGATGCAGGGGTGCGGAGCCGGAGCTGGAGCCGGAGGAGCCGCCGGTGCCGGCATATTTTGCCTGGAGCCGGAGCCGGAGCCGGAGCCGTGAAACAATATAGCCCGGAGCCGGAGCCGGAGCGGTAAAAAAGGCGGCGACTCCGGCTATTTTTTTTTTTTTTTGAAGAGGAAAACATTATTGACCTAGTTCGGTTTCACAGTGCCTGCAAGGCAGTAAAATATGTGGTATTCAAAATAGCCTTGTTATGCAAATACAGAAACAACGTGAACCATTCCTTCATCTTTTCTTTTCCACCCGTGTTTATTTGTGTAAAGGATGAACTGAGTACTGGAGTCGAAGCCGGAGCCGGAGCCGGAGCCGAAGCCGATTTTTTTTTCTCCGGAGCCGGAGCCGGAGCCGTCTGAAATTTCCACGCCTCCGCATCCCTGGTTAGAAGGACCCTGGCCGGGCGGGGGGGGGGGGGCGTGGGTGCCACCACATCGTTTTTTTGCGACAGCTCGGAACACGTCGGCAGGCAACAGAGAGCCAAAACTGGGCATAGCTACCTGACCTTTGATGCAAACCGGGCCTTGTGACGCCCGCATTTTCACGGAGGGCCTCTGGTCGTCTTAAGGACCCTCTGTTACCCTCAGAGGGACCCTCTGATGGCCTCTGAAGACCATCACTGGCCTCAAAGGGTCCTTTAGTGGCCTCCATGGACCTTCTGGGTACCTGAAAGGTCCCTCTGTTTTCTCTCCAGGGCCCTTTTTACCTCAAAAAGTTCTCTTTTACTTCAAATGACCGTATGTTGGTCTAATACATGAGGCCCCTAGTGGCCTAAAATAGCCCTCATATCATCTAAGGTGACCCCCTGTTTGCCTTAGAAAAGAGGTCCCTCCGGGTACCTGAGAGGCCCTGTTTGTGTCCCAAAGGGTCCTTTGCTGGCCTCATAAGGCCCCTAGTTGACCTAAAAAGTTCTCTGATTGTCCAAGGGCCCTCTGTTCGCCTCAGAGGGCCAGCTTTTTCCTCAGAGTGCCTGATGACCTCATAGAGCCCATAGTGGCCTGACATAGCCTTCATATCACCTCAGAGGGCCCTCTGTTGTAAGGCTCAAGTGGCCTTCTCAGAGGGCTCCGACTGCCCTGTGACTGACAATTGTCCACTCTTATCCCTCTTTTGGGTGACCTTTTCCCCCTCTGACACCCAAGCCAAAATACGATTTTGGGACACTGACTCCGAGGGCCAGTTGATTTTCAGAGGGCCCTCTTTGAGGTGGATGTTAGGGCCCTCTGTTCGCCTCAGAGGGCCCTCTGGTGGATTTAGACTTCAGAGGACCCCATTTTGGCATCAGAGGGCGCCTCTCTGTGGCATCAGAGGGCCCTCGGCGGCCTCAAATGGCCCTATTACATCTCAGAGAGCTGTCTTTGACCTCAGAGGGATCTTTTTTACTTCTTTGTGGTGTCTAAGGGGGCCCTCTGGCCTTTGTTCGCCTCAATGAGCCTTAAGGGGTACTCCGATGACTTCCAAGGACCCTCTTTGATCTCAGAGGGCGTAAACCTCATAGGGCTCATGGTGGTCTGACATAGCCTCATATCACCTCAGAAGGCCCTCCAGTGGCCTCAGAGGGCACTTTGTGACCTTTGAAGGCCCTCCATTCGCCTTAGAGGGCCCTCTTTGATCTCTTTGATCTCTTCGATCTCAGAGGGCCCTTTGTTCTCCTCAGAGGGCCCTTTGGTGACCTCCAGGGACCATCTTTGATCTAAGAGGGCCGTCTGGTGGCCTCATAGGGTACCTTGTGGCCTGACATTGACCCTCGTACCTCAGAGGACCTTCTGTTCGTCTTAAGGGGCCCTCTGCTGGTCTTAGAGGGCCCTTTGTGTGCTTGGGAGGCCCCCCTGAGTACCTGAGAGGGCCCTCTGTGTGTTTGAGAGGGCCCTCTGTGTACCTGAGACGGCCCTCTGTTCGCCTGAAAGGGTCCTCTGTGTGCCTGAAAGGGCCCTCTGTGTACCTAAGAGGGCCCTCTGTTTGCCTGCGAGGGCCCTCTGTGTGCCTGAGAGGGCCCTATGTGTGCCTGAGAGGGCCCTCTGTGTACCTGAGACGGCCCTCTGTGTACCTGAGAGGGCCCTCTGTGTGCCTGAGAGGGCCCTATGTGTGCCTGAGAGGGCCCTCTGTGAGCCTGAGAGGGCCCTCTGTGAGCCTGAGAGGGCCCTCTGTGTGCCTGAAAGGGCCCTCTGTGTACCTGAGAGGGCCCTCTGTTTGCCTGAGAGGGCCCTCTGTGTGTCTAAGAGGACCCTCTGTGTACCTGAGAGGGCCCTCTGTGTACCTGAGAGGGCTCTCTGTGTACCTGACAGGGCCCTCTGTGTGCCTCTGTGTGCCTGAGAGGGCCCTCTGTATCCCTCACAAGGTCCCTCATTGGCCTAAATGTGTCCTCTAATAATCCTCAAAAGAGTTCTACAATACTTTTTCTTTTAGCGAATAAAATGGGAAGTGGTCAAAAGGGCCCTTGAAGTCATTTCAATTTTTTCCGTGTTATAAAAAAAAAACTTTCCCCCTTGGATACGCCACTGTTTCTAGCCCACGACACCTCCGGACCAGTCTGCAGATTGGTCGCTTCACCGCCCAATTCCCAAATCGTATATTTGCCGCGATGCAGCCTCTTTTCCGTTAACTGTTGCCAACAGATTGCCAAGCCTTGAAAACAAAAACAAAAAACGACAAACATCTCAAAAGCACTGCTCTTTTCTGCACTTATTTATTGTTAACCGTTTCAAAGAACCTGACTGCAGCGACCAGTACGGTCGTACCGACTCTCCTCATCGTTCACACCACTTTCACACCTATCACAGGCCTTGTCTAGCTTATAGGTACCCATTCCCAATCTATTATTCATCACACCAGCACTAAAACATGGAAGTATAAAACGACAGCGATGTCCATCAATCAACTACGACGCACCTCGCCAAAACATGTGAAAATGTGAATGTTGATCGAGTATTATGCTAAGTGCCAAGTGGTACCCCAAAGCTTATATAAAATATACATGGAGCAGATGTCAGGCACTACAATCGCGCTTCAGTTCACCCATCACCACATCACCTGAAATTACCGCGAAATTCAAATCACAACGGTCTGACTCTAACCATGTCCATTCCAGTAGAAAAGGCGTTCCTCCCTCGAGTCCGCAGTGAAAAGATGTGTATAAAAAATATACCAGTAAAAAAACATGCATTCATTGAATTGTTAGAAGCACAGTAAGCGGAATGCCACTGGAATGACCGGATCATCATTCATCAAGCCACGTGACGTAGTGTTACCGACTACCGTACCGAAAGCCATACATTGTTCTCATGCTCAGAAACATCGTGCCGCCCATCCAAGGCCCTATATACCCGCCTATCCTTTGGAGGCCGTTACAGACTGAAAGGACCCAGCAGTTACAGCCGAGTCTGATATGCAGACAGCGATTCCTTTGGCGTTATCTGGCCGATGTAGACGAGCGCTAAAACTGACAGAATATCCGCCTGACTGGCGCACAATACGTCATTTGGCGTCTCCTGGCCGAGCTGGGATGGAAGACACTGGTACAGCTGATCTGTGGCCATTCGAACCGGCCGAATACCCTTCCCGTACACGATTCACCGCGTCACCAGAGTTATTCGACGTTAAATCGACGCTCCACGATTCACAATGTCTTTGCATTTATTTGACAGCGCCCCGATCCTCTGCTCTCTATGATAAACCTGATCACTGCAGGAACGTGGCTGTCAACTAGATATGGCGCTCCGTTTAAAAACAGCCGCACTTTCCAGATTTGATAGCTTTCCTTGCATAAAAAGAACCGAGTTGAGGAAAGCCCAGCTAGTCTTTACATGCAGCTTCTCTCACAGTTTCTCCTCTGTTGACTGTAGACTCTTCCTCCTTCAACTCACAGTGCTTGTTAGATGTGCAATGTGCCTTGCTCTCCCGCCGTGCGTTGGATCCCGTGGTTGGATCCCGGCCGGTCGCGCCCCGCTCAGCCACTGTCCCTGGCCACGGGGGTGCTCTCGCGCGAGTAACCCCTGGCGTGCACGCCGCAGAAGGGGGACAGGTGGCTGGCGGGGTTCCGGCACGGCAGACCACTGCGGCAGGTGGCTGCGCACCACGGCCGGTCGCCGGAGCTCGGTGACAATCTGGTACAGAGGGCACGCAACATGGGTCAGACGTAACACAGGGGTTAAGCGTAACTGTACGTACAGGGTCTGGACGGAACACATATGTAAAACGCTGGACAGCATGAACAATCATACTATCAGGCAGTGAAGACAGGAAAATCGACCGCAAGGAACCTATCAACCAATCTCACTTCAAAATTGGGCGAGAGTTTCGAAAAATTGACAATCCTGGCCTGACAGCCAAGCAAACTTCTAATAGCATCTCTGGGAGGCGGGAGCGTTGACAGTATGATAATTACATTCCACTGCTGGCTGTCATCAACCCAAAAATTCAACTTTCCAGGAGCAAAAACTTTCGCCAACTTACTGCAATGTCAATCGCTACTGAAGATCGCTGGCAGCTGCTGTATTGTAATGTCACGCAATTCAACTAAGCGTTCCGCCTAGTAGTCCTGTCAGATCGCCCTCGGTCTCGAGGACCTCACTCAATTCACTTCTCTGTCAGCTTGGGAGACTGCTACCTATGCCTACCCAATACCCGTCCCGGACCGGACCAGCCCGGCACCACCCGGACTTGTGGACCTACCCGATCCCCATCCGGACCTACCTCATACCTATCCTTTCCCCTGCAGGATCTGCCCGATAACTCCGGACCTACCCGATGCCGGCCCGCCGGAGCCGGCTGCCGTTCAGTGTGCTGTTCAGGGTGCTGTTCAGGGGCGACTCGGGCCCGGCGGTTGCGGCAGACAGGTTCAGGAGGGGGCTCCGCGGCGGCGGCATAATATCCTGTTCGGGCAGACGCGGCAGTCGCTGGCGCAGCGGCGACGAACGGTCCAGCTGATGGCAGAAAATGTGCCAATCAAAACGGAGTTTACAAAACAGAGTTCACAATGACACCAAGAAACGGGGCCAGTCAAAAGAAAATTCGAGCTTCCGACAGTTAGATGCTGTGATTCTCCCACAGCAGAGGCCTTGAGATCCTAGACAGTGAAAATGACTAGCAGTTGATTGGAGCCAACGATTACCAACTCCTTGCAGCAGACGCGTAAAAACGCGTCCCTGCGGCGGAATGGATCGCGTTTACACGGTGCTACGCGCGATCTGTTAGTGCTGCAATAACGAATTTGCGTGATACTACTATGTTACACTACAAAACTTCTAAACTAAAGCTTTTCTGACAGAAACGTTAAAAGGAAAAACGCAACATTTACTGCTCATCATTCATGTATCGAGCCATAAATCTAGGATGACAAATAATTAGAGCTATCAATCATCGGAAGACTGTCCTACAATAGCAAATCGTCGACAGTTCTCGATGAGAAGAATAATGGCATTATTAGGAAGAAACACAGACTATTAGAGACGAAGGCCTGTATATCAGCGAAACTAGGCGAGGAATGGCGAGGCCATATACGACGATAGATAAATGGTTCAGACTTCAGCTGAAATAAAATTGGCCGTCACTAATCACAGTTACGATTTCCAGAAAACGATGATCATATTAAAACAACGATTTCCATGGAAGCATTTAGAAAATTGATCGTCCTGGTAATATAAATGACTGCGACTAGAAGGTTCGCTGGCGGATGATCTAAAAAAAAACTCGGGTCCACTAGCAATAACCAATCGCAAGGAATCGGCAACTTACACCAAGAAACAAAATACAAAAACTGACAACTCATCGACAAACTGAAACGCATTTTCGTCACATCTTATGGGTGAACTGAGACCGCCCAAGTGTCACAGCTCGGCCACTCCCCGGCCGTCGTCAGCAGACCTGTTTAACACCGACCTTGCCCTCGGTCGGTCGCTGGCTCCGGGAGACCGCTGCCGCCAGGCCGGACAGCAGACTGCCACTGCGAGAGACGGCTGGCGCAGGCCGCTCCTCCCCCTCAGAGTCAGAGGACAGCAGAGCGTCTGTCGGCAGACCGGCCGGGAAAGGGGAACAGCGGTAATTAAGGCACAAACCCGACGCAGGCGCAGCATTGGTAAACGGAGGATCATGAAATGTAAGTGAGTGCTCAAGTTACACGATGTGCTAAATCAAAAAGTGCATGGTGCAAGGCATAGTGTAATGATTTTGTTAATGGAATGGTTTTCATTTAAACGTTGCTGATTATGGGCTGTAATACGATATGCCAATCGACTGGAAAAGTTAACGAATTCGAGACGTGACGGAAATGAAAATATAACTAATCCCACAATAACATCAATTGAGATATAGCTCCTCCATCCATATGCAAGTTACGACAGCTGAGAGTACCGTCACCCACCTCTCGTTGAGGCACGCGACAGCTCGGCAGCCCTGTCCACCTCTGCGCTGCAGCCCTTCTGCTGTGCGGACGGAGGCCTCAGAGGCAGTGGCGCCCTCTGCGAGACCGGCTCCGCCCGGAACCAGCCCAGCAGCCAGCAGGTCAGGCCGTGGCCTGACGCAAGTCAGGGTGAGTTAGCAGGCCAGGGCGACCTGACACGGGTCACAGGCAGACTCAGACAATACAGGGTGATCACTGAGCGCTGACCAGTCATCACGTCAAAAGAGGATAAAAAACGTCATATCTTAGGAACTACAAATACTTCTTGTACATGTAATAAGTCAGCAGTCAGCACTCAAGATAAGATTCCCGAACTCGTGCACTTAAAACTTTGTCAAATCTTACCTAACGTTATCATAACTGTAGGTTGAACCTTCCACGAACACATTCTTGTCGCTATCGCAAAATTAAATACAATTTTACCGATAAACTGGTCAAATCAAGACGTCCATGTGACGTCATATAATCCTTGGCATAATTGCAGTCGTCTCATTCCTACTTTCCGCGCCACCTCTTCTGCGTTCATCACACACAACTTTTCGTCCATCCCGCCGTCGGCTGGTACCTCTGCCCGGCCACTGATCTCCCGCCTCTGCCCATAAGTCCACGTACTACCGTCCCTACCTCCTTCCCTACCCTCCCTCCGCCCCTCTGAACATACCGACGGCCAGTGAGACGAGCAGCGTGGTGATGGCCGAAAACTCGAGCACGGGTCCGGCCTGCAGCAGTGAGACCAGGTTGGCCGGCACCACGAGCAGCAGGGCCAGGCGCACGGCGTAAGGCGCCTGCAGAAACGACAGCAGCAGCATCCCCAGCAGCAGGAAGCCGACGTGCAGAAACACGCCCGTGGCGCGGTGCAGGTCACTGCCTGAGGGCCGAGAGGGGGCACACAGGTCAGGGTCTGACGGTTACAGGTCACATAAGGTGCACCGGACGGTCGACCCTGATATGTAGGATTAGGTATTAGGTAAGTCCATGTGAGTCGCCGGTACCAAAGCAGGTCACCGCCTACCGGAACTGTCAGCCTGAGGGTCTGAGGATAAGAGGCAGCGCAGGTAAGCTCGCGTAGACTGGCTGCCAGGTGGCATTATGAGTGTCACTGAGACTGCGGAAGCCTCAGCTGGCCTGGCCGTTATGTCGTGATGTCGCTCATTGGACAGCTAACACCCGGTGACCGGGCGCATTGAGAGCTGTTCGCACTGGCGATCTTCCGACCCACGGGCCGCACCTGACCATCGTCCGCTGCCGTGTCGTCAATACCAGGAACAAGCCACTCTTTCATGTTCGGTGTCACTCTAAACGTGCTCGATTCACTCGTACCGTTCCCTGCGGTTATCAAAGGGGGTAGGTACTCTGCGGACCGTGCCTGGTACAGCAGCAAACGTTTCCTAGAATCAGCCCAAGTATGACCGCAGAAAACACCCCGCCGGAATCAGCAGCTGAGCTGTGCAAAGTTGACGATTTTAGAGAGATGGCAAACAATGCCGCGACTGGTCAGCGATTATTGACCACTAATCCGACCAGCAGAAGTCGTATATCAGTGAAATGACTGCAGATGCTGACAGGAAGCCCGGTGTCATGCAGACTTAGGATCGATAGATGGATTTACGCCGGTAAAGGGAATCGTCAAAACGGAAGCGTTGAAACAAGTTTTGCATTTCAGATGCGCCTGAGCTCATGATTTGCTATCAATCTTAGAATGCACGAAAGGTCAAGAGCCGACAGACTATCCCAAGAAACCTGTTATTGGAGCTGCACTCAACAAGCATTGCCTTTTCGACCGTACCAATTTGTTCTAATCCTAACTAGAAGAAAATAACGACGAGTAGGTACGCGCCTAATGCCTGGAAACAATTGTGAGACCTTCGAATTACACAGCTACGTCGCGTAGTTACGTTTCGTTGAATATTGCAGCATATTCAAGCAAGTTCCACATGCTTACAAAGGCACCAGCACCACCACTGGCACCATGATCGTCACCAGTACCATCACCAGCAATCCACTATTGACTGGCTAGGCCGGCCGGTCGCTAGTTGTGCCGATGATGCCTGAGCCCGGCACCATCGCATCCCACACACAACCACAGACCTCAGATCGATGGTGGAGGAGGTTGAGTATTTGTGGAAGAACAGTGGGTCATTGACACAAACAGGAAACCACGGACACGTGCGACCGTGCCAGGTCTGGGTCAGATTAGCCCGGTTGAATGAACGATTAAAGAATAGTAAGCAAACGTTAATATGGACGCAGCAAAAGCACCTATTCGACGAGAAAATGACGGCAATCATCGATTTAAAGATATTTTCGGAACAAAAACAGCACGACATATTTACCTATCAAAATATTAGCTTCCCTAACATCATCGTCTTGTTTGTATTCTACAATGGATGTCAAACAATGCAGCCCAGAGGAGATCTCACCCGCTCCCTCTTCCCTACCAAGCTATTCCAACAAAGTCTTCTTGAGATGAAGACCCTCGACATCGCGTACTCACCGAGCAGCTCCACCAGCCAGCCGAGTTTGTGGTCCACCTGGCGCTGGGTGGTCTCCAGGGTGGCCAGCAGCGAGAAGATGGTGCCGTTCATCCGCTCCAGGCTGGCCAGCAGCGCGTCGAACCGCACCACCACCGAGCGCGTGGCGCCGTCTGACGTCACACAGAGGGCATGGACGGTCAGTCAAGTGGGAAGGGAATGACGTCACAAGAAGGGTCAGTAGGCGCAAGCAGAGTGGACGAGGGATGACGTCATGGGCGCAGTCAAATCCGGAAGTTGACGTTACATATGCCGGATTGGTCTATTGCGTGTCAAAGGGCACGGAATAACGTCAAACTAAGAGGGCCGAGGACAGCGGGACTGGCCGTGTTTCGCTAGTTTATCTCTCGCGTGTCATACTCGTACATATACGATATACATATTGTCACATATAATACCATTATTACATAATGTTGGCAAGCGCTTTTTTGAGGCTCATTGTAAATAAAATGATAATAAGAAACCGCAGCCTCATAATAAGGTTCAATATATTGCCGAATATAATTATAACAAAGTGAGACGACAGTTTCGGGCGTAGCCCATTATCAAGTCATTATCAAGAGACTTGATAATGGGCTACGCCCGAAACTGTCGTCTCACTTTGTTATAATTATATTCGGCAATATATTGAACCTTATTATGAGGCTGCGGTTTCTTATTATCATTTTATCCATTATTACATACCCGACTTACATCCGAGCCTCCAGAAATAAAAAGCTAAGAAAACATCACTACCACCGGTCATACCAACCGTGCAATATCGTTTAGACAGTGACATGAGCCATCCAGCCCTTCGATCTCACACTCTACTCACCAACACTCTCGAGTCTGTGCAGCAGCTGCGTGGCGCTGCCGTGAATCCGCTCCAGATCCGCCGTCAGCTGCTGGTGGGAGCGGTTCCGCGCCGACTCCTGCAGCTTCAGCTCGGCACCGGCGCTCTCCAGACCGGCGCGGATCTCCTCCAACGTGTGCGCCACACCCGCCTGGCCGACCCCGATCGCCGAGCGGACGCGCGACAGCTCGCGCAGGTTCTCCACCACGCGCGAGCGCACACTGGCCTGGGCGGCGCGCAGCTGGTCGTTGCGGGAGAGCAGCTCCTGCTGACCGCGCGCCACACGCTCCATCGTGTCGCCAGTGAGCCGCCGCAGCTCCTCCTGCGAGCCCTCCAGATCGCGCATCCGCTCCAGCTGCCGGAACGCCTCGCCGGCCAGCCTGTTGACGGCCAGCTCGGTGGAGGCACGGAACTGCTGCTGGCGAGCCGCGTAGCACACGGCGCGGGCGCGGTTCGATACGATGTGGTAGGCGTTCCAGGTGTTAGCGTCCATGTGACGCGTGCAGGCGGCAATCGGCTGGGGATGGGGAGGGGCGTCAGGGTGCGCCAGGGAGCCGTCAGTGCGGTACCGGTGTCAACGAGTGCGGCACAAAATATACAATCCACGGCTCATTCCGATTAGGAAGTCCCGACACCGAACCGAATACACAAAGTAGCATGAAACTGTTTGCGTAGAGGGTTTCCGCACTTTTATCGAGATTCCTCATTTGGAACACGTAATACGTCATAAGCTGATCACGTGGCAGTGAACCTACCATATCCATTGTGCAGGGGAACACTGGCCTGGCCTCCGACTCAGACTGGCAGTTCAGCAGCTGTACGGCCACTTTCGCCATGTCTTCTTCAGAGAGCTCGCTGCAGGACTGACGCAATGATACGAAAATCTGAAACAGACATATTTTAGACTGGTCACTCAGTCGTGCTTCTTTCAGCATATACAATGCCAGTCTGTGTGTGTGTTGCAGTTTATGTAACCTCAGCTGCAGTCTAAGCTTTGCGCTTATCTGGATAACGTTTTATTCTCACTCGCAGTACGTAAATAGGTAACCACGTTTACCCCCGACCCCAAATGATTCTAGATCAAGTTACCGCGAAATGCAATCTGCTGACGGTAAACCAAATGCCTATAACGAATGAAGCTCACCTTGTGCTGACAGACATCCAGCTCAGAGAGTTCCAGTTCGGAGGTTTTCTTCACAGCAGCTAGGAACTTGTCATCAGCTGAGCGGACCTCAAACGGCACCTGCCGCGCTCCATCCTCTCCGACCATGGCCGCAGTGGCAGCGGTTGGCTCGGGAGGGTCGCCAGCAAACAGCCAGCCCATCATACCCGCATGGCCAGGTCGAGCGTGGGTGGACAGCAGGCCCAGCAGCAGCACCAGGTGGTTCGGAATCATCACAGCCAGCCCAGGCTGCTGAATCGCAGTGCAGGGACCTACCAAAGGTACAGATTCCAGGTGATCACTGTAAATAGAAATGAAGAGTATACCTACCCAGCCCAGTACCTATGCCTTTGAGCTGAGTTGTTCATTCATCAAAGGAACAAATCAAAATCATGACGGGGATGGTCTGCAATTGGTGGGAGCAGCTGCAATTGGTTGAAGTCAGTTGAGTAGGACAGGCAGTGTCCAGCTTTGAAGTGCACATTTAGCTGAATTTGGCATCTAAATTCCAACATTACCCAAAATTGCGTGATCGGACAGTAGTGATCTGGGGTCCACACAATCTGCTTAGTCAGGCCGGCTCCAGCTCTGTCAATCCGTCCATTCAAACATCAGAGCTGAATTCATTTTTTAAAAAAATAAGCTTGGTCTATGCCAATTCTAACCCAGTGTAGGTGCGCCGTATGGGAATGTACAGGGTGGTGAAGACACCGAAAACAGAAAACAGAAAGCTGCATAGGTAGTATCAAGGTATTATTGGAGACTGGAGTGAATTTACCGCAATAGGTACCCACCTACCGCGTACTGATACTGATACTGATACAGAGAATGAGAAACACCCGAGGAGGACGTATCCCACCTCAGCGTCTCTTTCTTTTTGCTTGCTTGTGCTGCTTAGGACCGGAGCGCCCTATGCGTACACCCGTACCTTGACCCGTGCCTTGGACCGCTTGGACCCGTGCCCCAACGACCACGACTTCGACAACTTCAATTTGAATTTGACGCGATCTCTGAGACACACGACGCGATCAAAAAGGTTTTGATCCTATCATGATCAGCTGTTCGCTTGCTTCAAATTTGGATGCTTTGTTTTATGTTGACGTACATGAGCGATGATGCTTATATGTTTTAGATCAGGATAAAGTCAAATTTGAATATTTTATTATTTTGATTTAAAATAATCAAATAGTGAACATCTTGAATAATGTCATAAAACAACAAAAACTAGTAAAACAAAAGCTAGCTAGCCTTTTGACGTCATATGTTGATCCTCAACGTCTTCTGAAGCTGTGCCAAGCGCTACAAAGATTGCGCAATTGAATCAAAAGTGTGTTCTTTGACCTTTATTTTCAGATAAAGCACCAAAGCGTTACTAAGCAATTCGCTTCTTTCAAAGCTGTAGCAGCGAGTTGCTAGGCAACTATTGGCCGTTTCACCCACTTATCTTGAGATTGGCATATCTCGAACAGACTTTTCTATCTTTCACTTCCCTGTTACGTAAAGATAGTGGACTTCTGTCTTCTGGTGGTCTTCTGTAGAGTTCCATCGCTTATTTTAGGTTTGGAGGAGTTTTGTCGGACGATAGCAGCTTATTTCTGTTAGTTTACATTGAAAATCGTTAAAAGATATCCAATATGCATGGACTCACAAGAATCACCACCTTGGCCCTTCCCAAGCACATTCGAAGTGCCTCGCCAGCTTTGTCACAATGCAGGTAAGATGATCATCTTTATCCAACCTTAGTGAAATCTTATGCGTGATTTGACAAATAATTGCAAATCATTTTAAAGGCAAATAACTATGTGTTTGAACCATGAAATAGCAAACAAAGCGCTTGTATTATTAGTGCACCAGATTTAAATGGCTATCAGGTCGGACAGTGAAAACGGGGCGCTGGAAGGCTGAGACGTGACCACAGCAAGGTTTTCCCTTCTCCTATTCCCTCCAGGGGCCAAGTCAAAATCTTGATCATGTGGTCTGCCTAAGCGAATTTTAAGAACCTTCAGTCAAAAACCCGTGGGCGCCCTGTTTTCACCGTCCACCTTAACCAGGGAGCAGCTTGCATTGTAGTTTTGCATATAAAAGTGCCATTTGAATTTGGTAAAGGTATGGGTCCTGGGAGTGGGTTGATGTTGAGTTCCTGGATCCTGGCCTTGTGATCCGGCCTGTGTGACTTGTTGACTGAAATTGAACAGTTTTTAAAGTATGGGCTACAGCTTTATGATATTACTGTGCAATGTAAGGACATTAATTGCTCATATAGCTCATAATAATTTGACTTTTACGTTCCAAAGAATTTGTGTTGACTTATATATTGATATGGATATGATAAAACTAGTATCATTCCAGGTGTCAGCACCTCAAAATGTTGTCACTTAAGAATAAGATGTGGAACTGCACTTTCAATGACAATAATTTTTATCCCTCATTTCCAATTTTCCACAGCTTTTTACTCCCAATTTTGCAAAGGTTAAGCATTTTAAATCTTTGTATTTTTAGTGCTATACCTTTTTTAGTCTGATGCTTAAGATTAACACACAGTGAAAAGGTAGTGATCATTTCATCCTATGCCTGAATCTTATTTTCTCATTCCTGAATTCAGTACCTACTCCAGGTCTATGTATGCATGCATTTTGCAGGAATATATGCACTCTCTTTCTCTCTCCCTCTCTCCCCCTCTCTCTCTATCTCTCTCTATCTCTCTCTATCTCTCTCTCTCTCTCTCTCTCTCTCTCTCTCTCTCTCTCTCTCTCTCTCTCTCTCTCTCTCTCTCTCTCTCTCTCTCTCTCTCTCTCTCTCTCTGCCTCTGCCTCTGCCTCTGCCTCTGCCTCTGCCTCTGCCTCTGCCTCTGCCTCTGCCTCTGCCTCTGCCTCTGCCTCTGCCTCTGCCTCTGCCTCTGCCTCTGCCTCTGCCTCTGCCTCTGCCTCTGCCTCTGCCTCTGCCTCTGCCTCTGCCTCTGCCTCTGCCTCTGCCTCTGCCTCTGCCTCTGCCTCTGCCTCTGCCTCTGCCTCTGCCTCTGCCTCTGCCTCTGCCTCTGCCTCTGCCTCTGCCCCTGCCCCTGCCCCTGCCCCTGCCCCTGCCCCTGCCCCTGCCCCTGCCCCTGCCCCTGCCCCTGCCCCTGCCCCTGCCCCTCTCTCTCTCTCTCTCTCTCTCTCTCTCTCTCTCTGCCTTTGACGCTGACACTGACAATGTCTCTTCCACCCCACTTTTATCCCTTTTTATTAACACATATTTCCTGATACCTAAAACAAAATACAATTTTGGGACACGACACAAGCCAGTGTTCCCCAAATGCCATAAATTGGGAAGTGTGACATTGTGAAAGATTGTGTCCACGTCCAGGAATGTCTGATCAATGGTCTTGACCTGCCTATCTAAATTAAGGCAATGCTCTTAGCAGGAGATTTCCTAGCCACTTAGACCTGCATGGCTCATTTTTTAAACTGTATGAATCCTTCTTATCAAAGGAGACTTTTATTTGGAACTGTAAATAAAAACAAAATTACATTGATGAAGACTTACCAACAAAGGAGCTCCTTATACAGTCAATAGATTTCACCATCTGACAGCTGCTCAGCTTTTTTTCTCATGGCCAATATCCCTGACTGAAGTTTAGAATGCAGTAAATGACATTTAATGACACTCTCTGAATTTTGCTACCCTTAGTCCTTACAAGTAATGGTCTTGGGCTACCATTTTCATCTTCAAATGATTTAGTATATGTTCCTTCCGTTCCATCTAGCTCTGGGAGGCAAGTAAATATCCATATCATCATATCAATTCCTCTGAGTCTGGTAATCGTCATCACTCATCTGCAATATTATTCTCCTGTGATGTGCATTGCTATGAGGTTGGTCAATGCTTGTGAGAGTTGTGCATATTTTAGAGATTTTCTGCATGATGGTAATCCATAAGTTTTGGATGGCTAGCAAAGCTGCAATGTTTCCCAGCTTAAAGGGACCCTCCCACCTTAACATTAGTTTTGAGTTGAGATAGCCAAATTGGTGGCCATGGCCTGAAAATACCGGTTTGGGCATTCACAACATCGAAAAATGCTTTAATTCGGAGGTATGGAATTTCAAACTTGCAGTTTTCGGATTCTAAGGGGCTAATGCATTGGTATGCCCCCTTAGAATTTGTGACGTCAGCGGAGATCTAACGATTTTTAAATCTTTTACTAAAACGTTTGGCAGCTCGCGGTGGTATATGCTGCTTTGCGCGCAACAAATGCCGCACTTTCAAATAAAGTCGCTAGGAACAGCGGAGATCCCAAAAAGTAAACAAAAGTAAAAGTCTAATATCTTGAAAACCGGTGAATATTTTTCGATGAAATTTGGTAGATATTCATTTTTGCTCTTTCTGAACCGAGCGACATCACTTTCATGCCAATTCATTAACTTTTTTGAAGGTGGGAGGGTCCCTTTAAGAATTGCTACCTAGATGTTTGGGACAAGTCAGTGAATGATGCTTGTCAATGGTAGGCAAGCTCATTATGTAACTGCTTTTCTAACAGAACACCCTCATTTTCATATATAGTTACAAAACAGCTAACCATTTCCACACTTCTTTATTGAATATGACTGCATAGATATTCAGTAACATTGAATGTCACTTGTCAGCATATTACATAATATTAATCACTTTACATCATCAGCCATGAGCCAACTGTGCTTGATCTCTGTCGTCTGATTGTGTTAACATTGGCTAGCAAGGGTAGTGTATATCTGGCTTAATCAGGTGCATGTGTATTGTGCATAAACATGCTAATTGCTCCCTTGAAAATATATGTAGGGCTTAAGCCTTGTTACACCAATACGCTCTACGGGTTCTGACAGCTGCCAGCCTGCCAACACAGGCAAAAACCTGGCCTTACGAGCAGTTTCTGCTACTGCTGTTATCAGGCTTTCGGTCATCCCTGATCCTCTTAGTAATATGTCACTCCACCGCGCACTCGGCTTCGCTCTGGCTCCCAAATCCGCGACTGTGTTACCCTGCCAGGGCGGCTGCGGCGAGTGTCGCCATGGTCAGCAACAGGGAGACCCTGGTCGCGGACGCCGCCGCCTTCACCTCCGCTGGGTTCAGCTTCAGGCTGTTGAGCGCCACCTCGCGGTCCACGCAGCGCTCGACCACGGACAGCGGGCCCGGGCAGCCGAGCACGATCCGATCGAAGGTGCGGTGCATGTCCACCCCGCCGCCCAGCTGGCCGGCTAATCTCCCGCGCAGCCGCCGCAGTCGCTCGGCGCCCACCGCGCAGGCGGCCGCCCGGCCCGGGCTGGTGACGATGCGCCGCAGCTCGGCGGCAGCTGCGTCCGCAGACAGCGCCACCCGCTCAGAGAGGAACTGCTCCGCCTGCTCGGCGCTCCATCCCAGCGCGTGCACGCCCGTGTCGACGACCAGGCGGGCCTCGCAGAGCGCGGCGCGCCGCAGCCAGCCGAGCCGCTCCAGTGGCGTCTCGCCGAGCCCCAGCTCTCCCGCCAGCGAGGCGGCATACTGCGCCCAGCCGTCGGCCAGCGCGGCGTGCTGCGACCAGCCGGACGGCGCCACGCCCGTGGCCGCCTGGTCGTCGGGACTGCGCCGGAACTCGGGCAGCTCGGTCTCGTCCAGCTGGTGCGAGCGGCGCATGTGCCGGCCGGGCGCCGCCTCCGCCAGTGCGGCCGACAGCAACTCGAAGCGGGCGGTGCGCCGGGCGGTGTTGACCAGCAGCCGGGCTGGTCGTACGCCGTCGGCCGTCGGTCCGCGGTAGCGCACAAACTCTGTGCCGTTGTCGGCGTCGGCGTCTGGCACCACGTCCAGCTGATACCGGGGCTGACCGAACGGCCGCTCCGGCAGCTGCGGCGCAATACGGTGCTCTATGACATCCGTCAGTTGCAGCAGGAGGGACTCCTCGTCCGGGAAGAAGAGCTCCTCCTGCGTGTCCAGGCGTTCATAAAACTCGGTTATTGATCCGGTGAAGGCCATCTCGGCCGCGACGTCTGAAATTTCCTGTTCGAGATGCTCCAGTTCGTCCATAGCGTGCTCATGTGCCTCCGCTGGCGTCAGCTCGGCGTCTGAGGTAAACTTAGCCAGGCAGGTCTCATAGAACCCTTCGCCCAGGCTGCTGGCCGCCAGTTCCGTCCGCGTCTGCGGAAGGTACTCGTCCTCGATAAAGTCGGCAAAGTCCATCAGCGGCTGGAGGACGGACTCGGCGACCACCTCGCGTCCGCGCTCCTGCAGTGTGAGTCGCACTTCCTCCGGTATGGTGTCTGGCGCGTCCCTCAGCGGCGCAAAGTACTCGCTCTCCTCTACCGACACATTACGCGCGCGCAGACTCTCGGGGAGGAGCTCCACAGCCAGTCGGTGAGAGGTGATGCCGCGCTCCATCCCCAGCCGCATCACCTCCGTCAGCTCGGTCAGCTGCAGGGGCAGCGCCGTCAGCCGGCTCAGCCAGCTCTCCAGGGCCTCCTCGGTCCTCAGAGACGTCCAGGAGGCGAGGTCGGCCAGCGTGGCCGCTGGGTCGCCCAGATCAGAGTCCACGCCTAGCAGGTAGCCGGTGTGCTCGAAACCGTCCAGAAAGTCCTGCAGGAGGGCCTTCAGAGCCAGCAGGCTGGTGGTGACGTCGAATGAAGGCTCCTTGCTGAGGAGACGGTCGACTTCCTTCAGATAGGTCTCGCATGTTGTCACCCTGTAGAAATGAGACAAAGTCAGCGAGGTTGTGGAATCAAGAAAATACATTGGATTGACGCTTAGACGGTTATTGGAGATAATATCAAAGTCATACAACTAAGTCTGGTAGATGTCCTTCCTTCTAACTCCAGTAATTTGTTGTTTGTTTAAATGAGGACTATTTTAAATCATACACGTTTCTAAAAGCAATGCATACTGGTGACGATCTGACGAATAAGTAATGATTAGCCAACAATATCGTTTATCCGAAAATCTTACTCCTTACGATAGTCATTTTGCTCAGTAACTTGACAGAAACGACTGAGCGATGAGCTCACCGTTTCGCTACCATGGCCGCTGTCGACTTAAAACTCGCCTTTCACTAAGTAAACACCTCCTTGCTAAGCACTCACCTGCTGGCCTCAGCTGCGGCCGAGCGGGCGGTCAGCTGGTGATCGTACTCGTGGCGCCCCTGTCGGGTGGCGAACTCGGGGTCATCGCGCAGTCTCCACTCGTGGAACTCGTCGAAGAGCTGGTAGGCCCCGTCGTCAGTCAGCTGTGTCGTGACAGACGCGACGATCAGACAGGCGAAGAGAAGTGTCGGCAGCGGCCGCATCTTCCTGAACGTTTGACGGAGGAGAAAGGTCCCGTTTGGAGATGAAAGGAAGATATGGATGAGGTGGATCGGATGGGCGATCCCGTTACCACTCGCTGTTTGGGATCATTTGTTCCACCACAGGACACGGTTTTGCTCGCTCAACCTCGTCACTTTCTCACGCACGCACGAACGCACGCACGCATGCACTGGACGTTCTATCAGAATCGCGGCAGTCTCCGCGTGGGTCGCTCCTGAGCGGTTTACGCCGGTCTGAGTCGGTCCTGCAGGAAATGTCCTGGTGTCCTCGGTCGGCCGGTCGCCGTTTTCCTTACGATGCTCGGTCCAGCGCGGCGTCTGCCCGGCGTCGTCACCGCCGTGCCGCAGCTCGTGCGCACGCTCCGAATGCAAATTTGACGCTCCGACCTTGTGCCGCTCGTCGCCGGTTATGGTGCTTCTCCAATGGAACTGATATCGGCTCCTGCCCTCCTCACTCTTACAATGTTCACCGGGTCAGAGTGAGAGCCCGTGGCAGGTGAAGTCTCCACCGCGACCGATACCGCCCCACTGGGCCGCGCGAGCCACACGGGGCCGTCACCTTCGCTCGGCCAGGGGGGACAGAACCAGTTTTGGTGCGCTGTGTAACCGGCGCTCTCACAGTGGCAGTGATGGGTTGGGTTGGACGGAGCCTGGTAGACTTTTGTTTGGAAACAAGCGATACGGGAAGAGAAACGGGCGGATTTTGCTGCGGTTTTGTGCCGTATTTGAGGTCGGTGAACGACCCTTGATTGACGTGGCACTATTGACGTGGTAGCATTGACGCTCATCCTGTACGGATGCAGCACAGCTTTTTGCCACTGAAAGGCAGAACAAATGCCAAAGCTGTGTAATGTGTATAACATTTGTCTATTGCAAACGTGGAAGTCAACATCTACCCTCGCTTAGCTGTACGTTAGCATTGGTTTATTTTTTCTACTTTTGCACATCCGACCCACCTCATCTTTCCAGCAGACAACGAATGTAAGACTGACAGACGCAGAGAAGTACTTACCTCATAATGTCTTACCTATTCGTGGCATTTAAATGGTGACCAGTGTATACCCTGTCCCTGAAACCCAAAGCCGCGCGCCGCTGCGGTCTCCCTGATCATATGACTCCACGAATCAATCTGCATTTCATTCGACTGAGCGCTGCTCTGAGCTCTGCTTCAAGATGCAAATGATCGGTGACCGCTACCCTGTCCTTCGAGGCTGGCATCTGTCAGGGCTCCTGCTGAGCTCAGGGCCCCATACGCGTCCTCTGGTGACTCGGCCCGGTCTTGGCAGCCCTGAGCCTGCTCCCAGGCACCTGGCGTGTGCCGGCCGGACGGACGGACGGGCGGGCGTGCCGTGCCAAATGTCCCTCGCCGGCCCGCGTGACGTATGGGTGTGTCACGCGACTCAGATCGCGTCTCTTCTGTCACTCGTTGCAATATGCGCCTGTTTCGACTTTCGGGTCGTTTTTTTATTGCATGCTCAATGCTTATTGTCCAAGGGTCATTGTCCTTGTCCGATCTTTCAATCCATGTAGGTAATGTTTTACCATTTTTTTCTTCTTTGCTTTTGCATTTTGGCTTTTTTGCTTGCATTTCTCCTCTAGGTCCTTCCAATAAAGTTTGTGGACTTACCCCACTGCTCCCCTCTCCATCGTCTATGTGAGTTTGTCTTCCGTCCATTTGGCCTGCCATAGATAACATGCTATCTAATTTTTTGTCATAAATAACCATAACGCCATAGTATGTTAGCCACGCACCAGCATATATAAGTTCTCTGTTCTGGTTTTTGCCCCCTCTCTCTCCCTCCCCTTCCCCCTCCCTATCTCCCTTTCCCTTTCTCTCTCAGCTCTCTCGTCTGCCCCGTTTATCTGCCGAACGTTCGTGGTAGCGAGGCCCAGTTTGCGGAATTGGTGCCTGGCACCGCCGCCCCCCCCCCCTCCCCCTCCTCCACCTGATGGCTCCCGGTCCGGTCATGGACCCTGCAATGATGACAGAATGACGCATCAGTGACGTTTGTGCCGCCGACTGATGTGTGTGCCGATGACACAGGCACAACTACCGACACTGGGTGACACCACAGAGTTATATCACCGTCTATAGTCACCCTTTCCACCATCCTTGGTGACCTTATCCTCCATTCAGTAATGAACTGGCGGGGTCGTGCGAATGCATCTGACGTCAAAGCTGGGTAACGCCTGCGCAGTAACCCTGTGTCCTTCGATTAACTCTCTCCTGTACTGACTTTGCAGTAGTTTTTGATAGCCGTGAAGCATTAAGTAGCGACTGCCAGAACTGCATCGGACAGGCATGGCAGAGGGCTTAAGCTATGGGGCTACTGGAACCTTGCCGGGCAATGGTCATACCAAGCGGGTTTTTTAAAAGTTAGGAGGAAAGTGAAATGTCCAGCAAGCGGCGGCCTTGAAAGCGATGCGAATGCAACCTCACACATGCAAGGGGATCGCTCAGCGTATGGTTAGTGGTTACATTGGCTCTGTCTGATGGCTCGCTATGTGGTTAACGGTTCGATGGGCTGGCTCGTTGTTGTTTGTATGCAGGAAATTACGAATGTGTAGTAGTATGTGTTATTATTACTTGAATACTAAATGTATTGTAGCAACGTCGTCTGTACAAATGGATGAAAAGGTTTTTCGTTGGTTTGGTCGACCGTGATTTTTCCAATGGTAGCAGTTCAGCTCGTCTGTCCGTTATCTTGCTTTTTACCCAAATTTGTTTCAAACCATTTTTAGAAGACGCATTTCCACTGTGTTTCCAACATCTTTTATTGATTATCTTTGAATAGCTCCTGCCGGTGAGAGCTGTTTGAGTAGCTGCAGTTTTTTGAAGGACGTGAAAATGGACGTCAATTTAGGCCGGCTTACCTTTCATAGTTCCTCGTATGTATTCGAGAATATGTTGCAGGTCAACAACGATTAGGTCACCGGATGTCATCTAAAATGACTACACAGGCGTGAAAGCTCAAATATGCATCATATTCGTCAGTGTGCTGTTATTTCCCTAAAAGTATTATAGAATGCAATGTACATAGTCTTCATGCTTATGTTCATCTGTGAGCAGAATGCCAGTTGCCACGCACCCAACCTATCGAGTTATCATTTATATCACGCTACTCTTGTGTAATTCCTTTCGTGTCTGACACTGACGTGTGTTTCGTGTTGTGATTTCGATCAGAACCTCGGCAACGCGAGGACAGATTCGCCCATTTAAAAGCACTTTAACATTAGCGACTCGTTTTCGTTTAGAAACCAGTTTTATTGTGCAGGCTACCGGCCGGGCTTTGGAAAAAACATGTCCGGATGAAACACATTACTGGGTAGCAAGTGAATTATATCCCATCGTCAGTTTTCACCTACTGCCAACTTTTTCATGACTAATATTTTGTTACTTTTAAAAGCAAGTTAGCGCTCTGGCCATTTGCCGTCATAAGTAATGTCAGTATTTCGCCCCGCCGTCTGCTAACCCCTTCCTCTTTTCCTTCATCGCCAGGGTGCAGTCTACGGCGCCCAAGCCGCAGCGCAAGGAGCGCAAGATGGACAAGGTGGTCAAGGACTCCAAGTCGTTCGTGCTCAACATGTTCAAGGGGTTGGCGCAGACGGAGCAGGTGTTCCCCTACCCGGACGTACTGACAGAAGAGCAGCGCGAGACTATCGAGTCCGTGCTCGACCCGGTCGAGAAGTTCTTCACTGAACAGAACGACGCGGCGCGCAATGACGCGACGGAGACGATCGACGAGGTCACCCTGCAGGGACTGCGCGAACTGGGCGCCTTCGGACTGCAGGTGGGTGACTGGAGTGTGGAGGGACTGGGGAAGGGGAGTGGGAAGGTGGGTTGATAGGCGAGACTGTGTTGGGTTGGTTGCTGGTGAGACGCGGTGGTTTCAAAGGGCTCATTTTGTGGGTGGGTGGTGATTTTTGACATTTGCGTTTGCGTTTATATGATCCTAAATTTTGTGTAATTACTTGCTGCTCTTGGGCCTCTATCTCTTTCTCCTTCTTACATTTCTATTCTGGGTATGTTCGTTTGTTTTCTCCAACCTATCATCAGTATCAGGCAATGTAAATAGCTGCAGGTACTCAGACCGGTCGTGAAGCTATTGCTAAAACATCGTAATCAAACGATATACTTTCTCTAGGTGTATCGTAACTTCCGGTAAGCTAGATTGGCATGGCCGTATCTTATCGGCATGTCTAAAGATCGAAGATCCCGACTCTTGAACCACATGTTTTATGGGTTCAGCTGCAGGAGTTTCAATATGACTGATTCTAACATCTAGTTGATCCGCGTGAATGTCGGAGCTAAAGTGTACTTATTTGCAGACATGTGCATGGATCCGAGTGATGGATCTATGATCTCGGTGGATCTCGAAGCAAACTGCAGGCTAGGATATATGATCCCACCGGATCCGGAGTGAAAAATCTAATCTGGATCTATGATCTCATAGGATCTGACGATAAACCAAGAACATGAATCTATGATCCGAGTGGATCCCACCATGCTCAACATTTGAAATGAGGTTTCCAAGTGTTTCAACGTCAATAAGCGCCACAAAACTATGGATAATGACGTGCAATCACATAAATCACTAAAAAAGAACGTTTGTGAGCTGCAACGAGTGATTTTCTGGGATTTCTGAGTTGACAAAAAAGTAAATGGGGTCTATGATCTCACTGGATCTCAAGCAAAAAATTAGACTCGGATCTATGATCCCTGCGGATCTCTCGATAAATTTAAGAGCTAGATCTATGATCCCTACGGATCCGAGATCCGGATCCTTGGGATCAGATCCCGGATCCATTTTCTCGGATCCATGCACATTGCACATGTCTGCTTATTTGCAAACCTTCGAAAGTCGCTGCCTTTTGAGTCTGCTTTTCCTATGAAGGAGCATCTTACTTTTTACAATTAAAAGCGTTTGTTTGATCTGAGCCGTTACAGCGTTAGATAAGAAAAGTGTGACGTCACAGCCGACCTCTCCTTCATCCCTTCCACCACCCCCGTTAGTCGGCTCCGTGGGTCAGCGTTTATAGGGCGGTAGTCAGCTGCTCGTCAGGACACTGACCGTCCTCGGTCCGACCCGACACGTGGCCAGTCTGTTTATACAGCTCCGGCGGACGCACCACTGGGTTACCAGTCACTGCCGGTCCGGGGCAAAGGTCAAGGGTCGCTGATAGAGATTGGTGTCCCGCTGTGGGGGAGTGTCGCCTGTCGTACACAAGGGCGGCGTGTGTGGATTGTTGATTGTCAACAGGATGCTATTTCTGTGTAGGAGTTCACGTAATTGACGGATGTCGCGATATTTTCAAATCGATGGGAATTATAACCGAATGTGTGATGGCATAATTATGACCTAAAGACAGGGCACACGAACGAGTTGTTACTGTTGCATTTCACACCAAAATATATTGGTGTGTACGCGGTTAGCTTGTTCTGCTTCCATAAGAGCGGTATCGTAATGCACATCAAACACTCGCGTCTGAAGCGGCAGAGCGATCTGCTTTTTGAACTCGGCGTTTATTCGAGCTAGTTCTTGCCAGGCTTTGAAATTTGGGTCAACGAGCCGTTATACTGATATTGAGCTAAGTTGCAACTATCCCTTCTGGTGGTCAGCAAACTTACATTCCCGCCTCTACGTCTTTCAGGTGCCCCAGGAGCTGGACGGCGTCGGCCTGTCCAACACGCAGTACGGCAGGATGACCGAGATCGTTGGCGCGCACGACCTCGGAGTGGCCATCACCATGGGAGCTCACCAGAGCATCGGCTTCAAGGTAGGCGAGGCGTCGGCATCGGTGGTGCGAGAAGGTCCGATTTTGTCAATGCTTTTGATGCAAGGTTGTTTTAGTTAATCTGAGAGCATCGATCTGTTGGAAAACCGCTTGCTGAAATATAAATCTCAGGAGCGCTGTAGGCCAAGCGGGGCCGCTGATACTGAGATTTTTGCGTTTTATTGAAAAGACTTAGCGCTCGCTCGTAATTAACAGTTGGCAATGCCGATCATGTGCTGGAACCGGTTCGTCGAAACTGTTCAGTGCTGATCGCCGCCGCTCCCGCAGGGTATCCTGCTGTTCGGAACGCCAGAGCAGAAGCAGAAGTACCTGCCGAAGCTGGCCGTCGGAGAGAAGATGGCCGCCTTCTGTCTTACCGAGCCGGCCTCTGGCAGCGACGCCAGCTCCATCAAGTGAGAGACTCGCGAACTACGCGGCAGGACGATCATGGCTAGTCAGCTGTTAGGCTATGGGTTACGAATGGCTGGGAGGTTATAGGGATTGGTTGCCTGGCTTCCCTGGGCCAGAGTGGTGGTGGTATACGGGCTATTCTGTTAATTGTCATCAGTGCTGCTTGAAATAATTTGTGTATTCACTTATACGCACTAGAAGTTATTGTATTCGATAAGTGATCCGTCTTTTCGGTCGGCAGTGGTTCATCAATTCTTGCATTGGCTAACTCTTTTCCGTCACCGTCCTTAACTAACCACACTTACTTCACTCCCCCCTCCCCTTATCAGGACGCGCGCCGTGCCGACCGAAGACGGCAAGCACTACATTCTCAACGGTAGCAAGATCTGGATCTCCAACGGCGGCTTCGCCGAGGTGATGACCGTCTTCGCCCAGACGCCCGTAAAGGATGAGACCACGGGAGAGGTGAAGGACAAGGTGACCGCCTTCATCGTGGAGAGGGGTTTCGGCGGAGTCACCAGCGGTCCGCCAGAGAAGAAGATGGGCATCAAGGCGTCCAACACGGCCGAGGTCTACTACGAGGACGTCAAGGTGCCGGCTGAGAATGTGCTCGGCGGCATCGGCGGAGGATTCAAGGTGAGGCGGTGAAGGGGAGGTGGATGTTTATGGAAGGAGGTTTGGTGACTTGTGGTGCAAGAGATGTTAGGGCTCGATGAGGCGAGAGGGAGCCATGAGGGCCGTGACCGGGGGTCTGTAGGGGGCAGCAGGGAGTGGCAACTAGCGATTAGCCTTGACGGACCGCCGTCTGTGGCGCACCCCGCGCCATCTCCCGTCCATCTCTGCACTACAAGTTTCCTCGTCTGCCGACAGGTGGCGATGAACATCCTCAACAACGGCCGCTTCGGCATGGTGACTGCGCTGACAGGTACCATGCGCTACTCGATGCAGAAGGCCATCGACCACGCCACTAACCGCACCCAGTTCGGACGCAGGATTGACTCGTTCGGGACCATTCAGGTGAGGGGGCGCGCTGCGGTGTATGGGCCGGGATCTACTTCGGAGCAAGAAATCGCTCACCATCGTTATTGGAACTGAAATCTGACACCGATTGGCTTGTACGCGTTTTAACATTGACTAGTCCTGACTCTGATCTGACCCGACCCGACGGCCGACTTGACCCGACCCCGACCCTGTGCCGCCTACAGGAGAAGCTGGCGCGTATGGCTCTGCTGCACTACGTCACCGAGTCGATGGGCTACATGATCTCGTCCAACATGGACCGCGGATCGGTCGACTTCCAGCTGGAGGCCGCCATCAGTAAGGTGCGTACCGCGCCCGGGGCTCTGCGCCAAAATTTGCTGGCAGAGGGTCAGGGGTGGCGCCCGATAACACATAGAGGAAAAGGAGAGAGGATGGCTAGGGGAAGATGGTTCACGCGGTGTCTGGCGTTAATAGGGTAGACGCTCGTTATCACGGAGACTCGGAGAAGGGATGGTCAGTTTAAGGTGGTTAGCTTGTAGTTGTACCCCGGGGTCAGGACTCAGCGACAGGTCGATATTCACTGGCACGTGGAGAAGAAGGCTAAATGGCCAAGTTTGCTAATTAGGGTGTTCGGACACTTCCACCGCTTGATCATTCGCCCTGTTGAGCATACAACTTAGCCTATTTCAGGATATTTGGTCGTCTCTTTCCGCCTGTATCTCATCCCTCGTCTTCCCTAAACCGTCCCCGTCCACCTCTAGTCTCACCACTAACCAGCCCTCGCCTGGCACAACTCGCAGGTGTTTGCCTCCGAGGCGGCCTGGACAGTCACCGATGAAGCCATCCAGGTGATGGGCGGCATGGGCTACATGAAGGACGCCGGCCTGGAGCGCGTGCTCCGCGACCTGCGCATCTTCCGCATCTTCGAGGGAACCAACGACATCCTGCGCATCTTTGTGGCGCTCACCGGTAGGTGGCGGGTCGAGCGGCGGCGCAGGGCTCAGGTGGAGGTCCGAGCAAGGTTTTGTGGTGTGAAGTAGGGTGGGCTTGATCTGTGGTATTTTCCGTAAATTATTGGATTCGACTTGTGATTGTTTCTTCGCTGCGAATCGATCTGCCGTGCAAAGGAAAAACCACGTATGTTACCGTTTTTTGAAAAACAAAAATGTTCAGGAGAGCCGAAAATGCGTTTTTCATTGTAGCAACCGTGTAAAAGCTCGCACAGACAAAAGAAAGATATCATTGAATTCCTCTCCGCCTTGCGATTCCGATGAGCCTTGTTGTAAATATATATTCATAAATACTGCCCTAAAAACTCTAGGGCGTTGTTTTGCCACCATCAAATTTGATCTATCAAATTAAACTTTGCAAAGGAAAAAACACGTATGTCATTTTCCGTGTGGCTAAACCACGTATGTGGCGCTCAAACTACAGTCGTAATTGGCAAAACAACGTATGTGACTAGCAGTGGATGACATACGTGTTTTTGCCAACACCGATTGTTTTGACACCGCAACATACGTTCATTTCCAACATAAAAGCCAGCGTACCAATAAGGATTGTGGCCGTGGGAGTGGCTTTGTGATTCCTGCTAGGCAAATTTCGCCACACCCAAAGCGTGTGTATCGCTAGCATTTATATCCGGGGTTGGGTGTTTTAACGTTGCTGTTTATATAAGCGAAAATTTGTACGAAACTACACAGATTAGTCCATGGGAAGATTCTTGTAACTTCCCGTGCCGTCGGTGGGGCAAGTACTGCCCCCCCCCCGTGCCGGATCCCCCGGAAGGGCCGTTGCCGCGCCCCCGGTCACGCTGGTGCAGCGCCCTGCGGTGGCACGTCCCCGGTTGCGTCGGTAGGGTCGGTGCCGCGTCCCTTCCCCCCCCCCCCCCTCCAGGGCCGGTGGAAGAATACTGGGTCGGTCGGTGTGGCAGGTGCCACGTTCCACTGTACGCATCCTCTGGTAGGACCCGCGCTGTCCCCCGGTGTCGTCTGTAGTGCCGGTGCCGTGTCACCCGCTTTTGTAGTTAGCACCAGTGCCGCGTCCTCCTGTAGCGCCGGTGCCGTGTCCTCCGTTAGGGCCGGTGTGGCCGGTGCCGTGTCCCCGGCAGAGCCGGAGTAACGGTGCCGTGTCCTCCTTGAGGGCCGGTGTGACGGTGCCGGTGCCACGTCCTCCGGTGCTGTCGGTAGGACCTGCGCTACGTCCCCCGGTGCAGTCGGTAGGGCCGATGCAGTGTCCTCCATTAGGGCCGTTGCTGCGTCCCCCGGTAGAGCCGGTGTGGCCAGTGCCGCGTCCCCCCGGTAGGGCCGGTGTGACTGTGGCCAGTGCCGCGTCCCCCGGTAGAGCTGGCGCCGCGTCCCCGATGTCTTCGTTAGTACCGGTGTCACGTCCTCGGGCTGCATCGGTAGGGCTGGTGTTGCGTCTTCCGTTAGGACTGTGCGGCCGGTGCGGCGTCCCCCAGTGTTGTCGTTAAGACCGGTGCCGTGTCCCCCCGGCAGGGCCGGTGTGACCGGTGCCGCGTCCTCCGTTAGGGCCAGTGTGGCCGGTGCCGCGTCCCCCCGGTGCTGTCGGTAAGACCGGTGCCGCGTCCTCTGGTGGGGCCGGTGACGTGTCCACATCTACATAGGGCCCGTGTGACGAGTGCCGCGTCCCCCCGGTGCCGTCGGTAGGGTCGTTGACATAAATGACACGTCCCCCGGTAGGGCCAGTGTGGTCGGTGCCGTGCCCTCCGTTATGGATGGCGTTCTTCGCCGCATGGATGACGCGCAGCGCTGCAAGATGCCGCACGATAGCCGCATGCCTGACGTGCGGCAGCCGCACCGCAACCGCACCGCATCAAAATCGCACTCGCGTGGGGCGGGCCTTAGGGCCGGTGTGGCCGTGTCCCCCGTTAGGGCCGGTGTGGCCGGTGCCGTGTCCCCGGGCAGGGCCGGAGTGACGGTGCCGTGTCTCCGTTAGTTAGGGCCGGTGTGACGGCGTCAGTGCCACGTCCCCCGGTGCTGTCGGTAGGACCTGCGCCACGTTCCCGGTGCAGTCGGTAGGGTCGTTGACACGTCGTTGGCCGTGTCCTCCATCAGGGCCGGTGTGACGGTGCCGGTGCCGCGTTCCCCTGTGTCGTCGGTAGGGCCGGTGCCGTGTCCCCCGCTTTTGTAGTTAGCACTATATAGTGTCGCGTCTTCCGGATCGCCGATGCCGTGCCCTCCTCTAAGGCCAGTGTGACTGGTGCCGCATCCCGCGGTGTCGTCGGTAGGACCGATGCTGCGTTCCCAACTGCTGTCGGTAGAACCGGTACTGCGTCCCCCGGTGCCGTTGGTACGGCCGTTCCCCGTGCCGTCGGTCAGGCCGGTGCCGTGTCCCCCGGCAGGGCCGGTGTGACCGGTGACGTGTCCTCCGTTAGGGCCGGTGTGGCCGGTGCCGCGTCCCCCCGGTGCTGTATGTAGGACCGGTGACGCGTCCCCGCTGCTGTAGTTAGGGCCGACTCCTCGTCCCCGGGTGCTTTCAGTAGGGCCGACTCCACATCCCCTGGTGCCGTCGGTATGGCCGTTGCTGCGTCCCCCGGTTGCGCCAGTACGTCGGTGGGGTCGGTGCCGCTGTCGTCGGCTTACCGGAGATAGTAGGCAAATCCACGTATGTTCTCATTTATGTGCTTGAAAAATGCAATTTAAGCAAGAATGTCCGTACATACGTGTTTTGACCACGCGAGCGTTAACATCTTTAGATACCCATGATGAGGAGATATCTGGCAAAACCACGTATGTTTCCATTGGTAAGAAATAAAAAATCATTTACACAAGAATGCTTTGACATACGTGCTTTGGACACGATAAGTCCGAACATACGTGTTTTTGCCTTGGCTGTCTACCCTTGGATATGACATACGTTTTTTGGAAAATGTTTTTTTGGAAATATAAGTATTTTCAAAAAACTTTTTGTGAATATAATTCGCATAACCAAATGCTCCGTTTCTTGGGCTATCGATCGGTATAAAAAACCATTTTTGACCAAAAAATGACATACGTGGTTCTTCCTTTGCACGGCAGCGATGGTCAGTTGAATGTCTATAATCATCGTCATGATGTCTTAGATAGAACATTGTTGCAGTATGCGGTAGCTATGACTTATGAGTCACCGTCCGCTTTCTAGACTTACCCGCCTTCCATCTACCGATGCTGCCCATTCCTCTCTGCCGGCCTAGCACCCCAGTGCCTTGACCTCCCACCTGCCCCGTACCACCAGATTTGCAGACGGCAAGTCCCTGAGTCCTCTGACAGGTCTGCAGTCCGCCGGTCCCTCAGTCCTCTAAACCCTCCCCGTCCCCCCCCTCCCCCGTACCGCTCGACCTGCAATCAGCGCGTCGTCTTAATAACGTCCCCCCGTACCGCAGGTCTTCAGTCGGCCGGCGGATACCTGAAGGAGCTGCAGCGGGCGCTCAAGAACCCGGCCGCCAACATGGGCATGATCTTTAGCGAGGGTGTGACGCGCGCGCGCCGGGCCGTCGGCCTCACTGGCGGCATCTCGCTGGATGAGCACGTGGACCCGGACCTGCGACCGGCGGCTCAGCTGGCGGGACGGGTGAGGAAGATCAGCGGGAGGGGTGGGGTGCAATAAGGGACAGATATGGGATGTGAATTGTCCGTGCGAACAGATAGGGATGTGGATTGTCCATGGGCAGACAACATTTGAAAATGTTAGTTGCAATCCTCCACCAAAAACTAGCTGCATGTGTCGACATTTTTCCGAATTTTCCTGCATACGGATTGTAGCAGTTATCTTCAGCTCTCACTCACTTCTTTTCTCCAGGGCCTTTCCCTCTCCCTTCTCATTTTCCCCTCCTCCCTTTCTCGCCATCCTTCCGTTCCTCTCCTCTCCCCCCTCCCACCGTTCGTGCGCTCTCTGACGTCTGTCAGTCGACCATTCGACGAACCCCCTCCCCCCCCCCCCCCCGTCTAACCAGCGTCACTGCCTCCACTGTACCGTCGATGGCGGCTAGTAGCGTGCGCTGATACCCCCACTGTGGTCTGGGTCCGGCCGAACTGTACACCAATCTCGGGCCGGACTGGGCGGCGCCTCACGTGCCAGCTAAAGGCGGCCGGATAAGGGATTGCCAGCGGTTTCGGCTGTGTCGAGCGCGGTAATGGTAGCGATGCTGGAGCGGGCTAACGGTTCACGTTCTTGTTGAAGGTCGCCTGAGACGCCGCCGATGACTGTTGGGGGAAGTGGTGGGTGTTGTGTGTGAGGGACAAACGCTGGTGTTGCAGGTTATTTTTAAGATTTTCGTATTGTTCGGTTGGAATTTGTGGTGTCATGTTCACCTATACGCACCGCACCTATAAGTTCGGAGCAGCTTTTGACCAGACCTAACTTATAAATCTAACCTGCCCCCAAGATACTGAATCGTTTTACCACCGCTTGAAGCATCTGCTGACCTGACCCGGTTTACCCTTTATCTCCAGCCGATTTAGGCGTTCGGCCACGGTTCTGAGCAGCTGCTGACCTGATCTGACCTGACCTGACCTGATTTGACCTGCCCTGCCCCCAGGCCATCGAGGCTTTCGGTCACACGTCTGAGCAGATGCTGATGCGTTACGGCAAGAACGTGGTGGACGAGCAGTTCCTGCTGAACCGTCTGGCTGAGGCGGCCATCGACCTGTACGCCATGACCGTGGTGCTCTCCCGCGCCACCAGGTCAGTAGAGGGGGTCGCGCGGGATCATAGGGGTCACCAGGTCAGTGGAAGGGTGGTGTGAGGTCATATGGGGTCACAGGTCAATATCAGGGGTCGTGCGGGTCATAGGGGGCCGGCTGAGGCCACCAGCAACTGGTAGGATGGGTCATTTTACAAGTCATGCAGCATCATCAGGGACCGCACACGTTATCATCTGGGAACAAGATTGGGACTGTGCTCGTCTTGAGGTCAGTATGGCGGGTCTTAGAGTCTTTCTAGTCACGTGGATCGAAATGGTTTCGGTCGCGTTCCGCTACAGATCATTGGTGGGTATTGACCCGGGTCCATACGGGCTGAAGTGAAGCTGGTCCGGGCCATCGGGGCGGGCAGAAGAGCCACCGCTCTTCATTGGCAGCGGTTACGGCTGGCGCTTCGGCTCATCTGCCGTGGCGATTACCAGTCGCCACGCTCCTCACTGCCCGCCCTTTGAAGAGTCCTGCGCTGTCTTGGACCCGGTGTGAGAGGCGGCACGTGCAGTCAGCAGTCGTGCCGGTGGCGGCGCCAGGGACCATCCGAGCGTGAGGAGTCAGTCACGCCCTCTGCCACGGCTGCCGCGGCCGGCAGCCACGTTTAAGGTATCTGATTTTTGATGTGCGAGTGTGGGCCTTAGAACTTCTGCGAACCGTGGCAGGCGCTTCAAAAAAGTGCCACCGATGCTGAGATATGTTTGTGGAGGGAAGTACTCAGTGGAGTCACAGTCAGAGCACTGAGCAGGCGAGCATTGTTTGGAGAAATTGGCTTCAACTATCGAGGGAGGATAGGAGTCTAGATCATCAGCTGTGGAATTTTACAGATGGTGATATCATAACCGCGGCCTCCTGAAACGCCGCGCGCTGGAAATTCAGGGTTCGGATTCCTTCTGTGTTGGTATATGGGTTGATTCATAGCGTTATGGCATGTGGAACTGGTTATGCTCCTTCAAATAATAAACAGTGTCGATTCTAGAGGAACTGGTGACTGAATTGTTGGGCAGCTTAGTTGCAGTCCTACTCCAACACACTGTCGCGTGATGCACTTCCAACTTAATCAGTCCTGAGCTCATTGCACATCTGCCCTTATCCCACGAGGCTTTTTGAAGGCGGCGACTTCCTGCTCGGAGTGCTTCCTCTGCTGCTAATCTGCGGACCGACCGGAGCGGAGCCGCGGCATGTGTCCGTGTGCTGTTTCCAGCTAGTGAGCCGGCTGGGTGACTCGGCTCTTCTCGTCAGGGTTTCCTGGAGGTGCTTGTCGCATGTGTGTGCGGTCCGGCTCTCCGCCGTACGACCCTTGGCCGACACCGGGCATAGTTACTGTCGAAGTTTTAGATGACTCTGTCCGTCAGAATATTCGGAAACGGACGCCTTTGAGAGGCGTGGATGTTAGTATTTCTTTAATCGAGGGTTGACCTGGTCCGTTGGGTTTGTCATGTAGTAGGGCTAGTAAAAACTGAGAACACGCTACACAATCTTCAAGATGGTAGCGTAAGGAATGGTTGGCACAGAGCTGTTGCGTGTATCACAACCTGTTTCTAGGATCACCCATCCTGTTTGCGGTTGACATGGGCAGCAGTTCTACCTCATTTCGACCGCTGCCGTCTTTATTTCGATCTAGTTCCTGGTGTTGAAGCGTCCGATCCTTTCGTGTTCCCGATCCCGCTAGCCATTTGACGGTGGCTGAAATAACCTGCGCTTTTCGCTAACGGACGCGGTCAGATAAGATCCGTGGGAGGGGCGTTGTTGGCCACCGCACCTTCCTGGCACGAACAGCCCCCGATTCTCCCTCCCTCTCCCCTCCTCCTGCTCCTCTCTGCACCCTTTGCTCCTTCAGAATTGGTTTGCAGCAGCTCCGGATTTAACTGACGCGCCCCCGATCTCCCGGATCTGGTTCGGGCGGTCTGCTTTCTGCCGGTTTCGGAGAGTTGCTTCCAGTTTTGGGCGGTCTCATGGGTAGGTCTCATGCCACTCACCACCGTTTGCCCGATCTGTGGGCTCGCCTGAAGTTTGCCGAGAAGAAGCAGCGGCGGCGGGGGCGTAGAGCTTTTTTGGCTTCGATCTTTGAGGCGGGGTAGGGATTTACGCGTCTGCCGTCTCTCATTCAAACGCGAAGCACCTAGCTACCACCTGGTCACCTGGTCAGTCGGGGACTGGTTTTGTGTTCTGGATAGCTGTCAGACGTGACCGTGCAACCTGCTTTAATCACCCAGCCGCCCCGGACAGCGAATTTGTCAGAATCTTATGATACACGTGGTGTGCTAAGCCGTGTCTAGACGTGTATTTTCAATGGGATCCAAACCGCAAGAGGTCGGCTTTTTCAAATCCTCCCTTCAAATAATTTTCAGTGTTGACCGTAAATGGGTAATACAATCTGGCGAAGTCCTGTTTTGTTGGGTTTTCTGCCCGTCCCGACGCTGTTCCGTGACGCTCACCAATCTCGTGACGTCATAGGTACTTATTTGACGTCACTGTTCTTACCGGCAGGTCGGCCAAGCTGAACCATCCTTCAGCGGAACTGGAGAAGAAGATGGCTACCGTCTGGTGTAACGAGGTATGTGTCGGGGACGGTTCTGAACGTATTGGCTTTGCCTGTCACGGCTGTGGCTGTGCTTGGCTTGGCGAGGTTAGTTTGTGTGGGGGATGGGAGGGGTGTATTCAGTCTACATAATGAATGAAACTCATTAGAAAGTTGTCATAAGTTGTTATGTCTTGCAGCACCGACTTCCACCAAGTTTAATCGTAGCTCAGTTTGTCGACTGGACTTACTTTATGTAACTAAAATCTTATCAATTTGATATGCGTCACGTTATTTGATGTTTGCATGCCACATCACGACCCGTGTTTGGCCGTCCACCGGCCGTGTGTTGCGGTGTACAGTTTCCGTTTTCTCTGATCCGGCGAGCACAAGTCATACCCGGTGCGTGCCAACTGTCGAAACTCTCATGGAAGCCATTGGGCTGTGTTTTAGGGGAAAGTTACGAATGATGCAATCTTTGACGATTACTTGAAAGGGCGTTTTCTCTTTCGCTCCATACGAGTAGCTGCCTTCAGCATGCATTCCATTTCCCGCATTCGTTTCGGGAATGTTGTATATTCTGGGTATTGGGTATCCGTCGAGTTATAAATTGTTTGTGTTCATGCTTCCGGTGTAACGTAAGGCTTTGAACTTGTCATTGACTCTTTGACATCTTATTGGCGTAATCAGCATGTACTTCGGATGAGCTCTGTCAGGATTTTGTGATGACTTACTTTTCAATGAGTTGATATTTGGACTTGTCCATGTACTTTTGCTAGTCTTTCCCTGAAACGGTCTGTGGTCATGAGTTCCCTAAAAAGATGGAAAGCTACGTGCTCAGTAATTCACCAGTAACGGTTTTGCGTTCGTGGAGTTCACTCCGGTAACCTCGGGTAAAACAGAACGTTCGTAGCATAGGTACCACCGAGCGGCGCAGCTCCTCGCCCTCGGCGGATCTCCCCCTCCCCAATCATCATCGGTGGGCCTTTAGCCACCCTTCCCGGCTCGGTCAGTCGCATCGACTTCTGTCGCCAGTCGCATCCTATCCGTCAGTCTGTCTCGGTCGGGCTGTCTCCCTTCAAGGGAGGCGGGTGAGGTAGCGGGTAATGGAGATGACATCATGAGCTCGTCACCACGCCCGGCAGTGTAGTGATTTCGGCGTATGTCGGAACGGATCAAACCGCTCCAAATAAACCGCTGTGCGCTCGGTCGGTGCCGCCGGTCTTGACGGCCCCGACCCCCCTTGTCTCGTCCGCGCACTGCGGAGCAGGAAAGGGAAACTACCCTGCTTACCCGACGTTGTCTTGTTTAGTGTTTCTCTTCATGTTCAGGCGAGCGTATTGTTGTTGGCTGGAGTCATCTTTACAGTTGTCTGTGTCTTTGGAATATCTTCGGCCGCCGTCATCTTGTATCCATCATTGCTGGATCCACCTTTATCGCTACCTTAACCACCTCCACTTCCGCTATCATATATCAGTTTTAATCCGCGATGTGATGGTTTCCCTGAAATGCAAAATGAACTATAACTGTAACTGAAACTAAAACCGCCTCCGCCTTCTCAATCCGCGGCCAGTACCACGGCTAGCGTCACTGGTTCTACCACTATCACCGCCGCGTCCGCCGGTGCGCCTGCTCGCCACCGCGGCCGGCACCGATGAAAGGCGTGCCGTTCCCGAGAGTGGAGCCAATACAGCCCCCTTTGGATCGCCGCCGTCCGCCTGGGGCCCGCAGAGATCCACAAACCGGCTGCAGGACGGAATCACGAAACCGGACCGCGTTCGTGCGCCGCCCCGCCAGCGAGCGAGGCGGCCACGGAGCGTGCGGTGAGCTCGCGGCCGCCTCTGGGGGAGCGGAGTGGAAGGTAGCCGCCTTCTCTAGTTAACATGATAGGGGCTGAAGATGTGGCCTGACTGGTATGATCGATCTGTCCGTCCAAGCTGTTCGATTCGATATTTTCGAACCTTGGCTCGTGTTAGATTTGTGTGAGCTGACCAAATCGGTCGGGGCGAGCTCGGCTATCACGGTTCGGATCATACAGTCCGCCGGCTGGGACTGTGGTGCGGAAAAGTGCGTGCTGGATGGAAGGAAATACTCCCCATCTCCCCGGCCCTCTGGTCAGATGATCCCATCGCGGTCCCGTCACTCCGGGGCCGGGGGGAGGGGGAGTGGGGGATATCTCCCCGTCTGTCTCAGCCCACGAGGCCGGCGGCGGACTGCCTTTGACCCGCCGAGCGTCCGCCGGCGGTTTTCCTGTTGGTCGGCTCCGCTCCCCGCCATCGTCTGAACGACATCCGATCGGCGCTGTAACGGGAGCCCCGTCCGCTCTGCACGCGCCCACGGAGCGCGCCGCTCCCCGGCTGATGAAACGACCGGCGTCCGGCAGCGCCGCGCGGCTGATAGCTTATGCAAGTTTTCGGAAGCCGAACACGGATCCAAGCTTCCGCATTCTGAACTTTGACTGTGTGTCCTCTGTGTCCCGTCTCATCAGCGCTCGGATACTTGTCCCGGCTGATAGCGTCCCAACTTCTGTGGTCATTTAGGGGAAGCGGGGGTAACACCGCCACTGTGGGAAACACCGCCACCCCATCTGGCGGCGAAAGTATGAAATGTGAAGTGTAAAAATCCGTTATTTCCTATTGACCGCACGCAGGTAAGCGTCTTCTGATTTGTGTTCCGGTGTTTCAGTGTAATCGAAGCTCAATGTGGGCATTTAAAGAAAAATGCACATTCTCTTATAAAAATTCGATGAGTTGGGAGCACTTTTGAATGTCTTTAAGTAGAGACTCATTTTGATTTACTTGATTACATCGAAAAATAACTGATCGGCTTTGTCCAGTAAGATAAGTTTGCTTGAACCGTGTAGTACATTCTTACCGCTGGCGATTTTTGCTTGTGATCACTTATTGGGGAACACCGCCACCCCGTGGCGGTGTTACCCCAATTGAGGTTGCGGTGTTTCCTGTTTGTAGCGTGATAAGTGATGAAACTCCAAAGACACGCTTTATTTATGTTCGTAGATGTTCCTAAGTCGGGAATAAGCAGCTTATTTGATTTTTTACTTTATATTTTTCATGCATCCCGACCAAGCACTTGCCAGCTGTATAAAACTGGCAAACAGCTGATGAACCTATACCTATTTAGGTGTCAATTACCGATTATTTGCGAAAATTACCACTTACCGACAGGAAACTCATCGCACACGATCTCTGAACAATTAAAAGCTTTCGTAGGAATGGGTTGGGTTAACATCAACACCGGTGGCGGGGTTACCCACACAATTTGTAGGCAGCAAATATGCAAGGTATTTTTAAAAGTCGTGATACATGAAAACCTTTTAGGAGCATGCAAAATAAGTACCTAAAACACGTGAGAAAATGTTTAAATATTGTAACCAAAACAATAACTACCAAGAGACTTCACACATATTCTCTCATTTTGGCGAAAAGCTTAGGGGGGCGGTGTTACCCCCGCTTCCCCTAGACTTCCTCGGAGAGCTAACTTTTGCAGCTCCCTTGCTAGTAACTCAATGTCGTGACCCTGCTAATTATGCTCTGCAGAGCGACATTGTTCATGGCCCCGGTGTCCTATGTCGCAGCACCCGCCTCCCTGAGCTAGAATGCCGCCAGTCACACGTCCTATGATGACGCTCATTATCTTATTGCCGCCCTGATGATGCCCTCCTTTGAGTCTACGCCGCTGCCGCCTCTGTTCTCGCGACTGTTGGCTGAAAATGCGCTGTGGCGTGTCGCGTGCTTGTCCGCATCTCTAGACAGTAGACTAGACACCCTTCTGGCGTCCTGCAAGTGTCGTGCTCAGAGCCAATTAAGGCCCAGACGGGACGGTTTGTCAAGCTACCCGCTGAGGGAGAACAGCTCGCTTGGTGACCAGTGGAAGTGAAGTCCTTGGTATCGGCGGTTGCGGCAGATGCGGCGGTATTGGGCTTTGCGGTCTTCTCCGCTTCGCTTCGATACCCCTAATATTCTTGGCTGCAAATTTGTTTAAAGACACTTTGAATATCATTTGATTTGTTGAATGAAGGCTTTTGATGTCAATACATACATACATACATACATACAGAGTACATATATATAATACATCTTTATACGTTTCATGTAAATCTGCTACCCCGTGAGGTTGTGGTTTGTGTGTACATTGTCACTCTGTATTTACCTTAGACACAGTCTCAGGAGCAATCAGCCCGCTCTCACCTGGTCATGCTAGGCTGTCACCCCCAGCGTGTCGTCCATGGGGGTGGTCACTATGTCTCACCGGTACAGGAGGGGTATGTCCGATGACCCGGCCCTGTGTGAGTGACTCATCGGTCGGTACGGTGACACGGGGGTGTAATGGCACACCTGAGGGTGACCAACTGACCGACCGGCGGGCGCGTGGCGGGCTGGGCGGCGGACGGTCGGCGACGAGTCACCTATCGGTGCCTTGTCTGGCTGTCTGGTCGCCAATAGGTCAATATTTGATGCTAAAGCGTTGTCTGGTCACCACTCATATTCATTGGTGTATTAGCTGGTCGTTGCTCAAGTGTTACAGGCTGGCTGCTGCGTGATCATTCATCAGTCAGCTAACCAATCAGTGAAAGACCCAGTGTGTGTGGTGCTGGTGGAAAATGTAAGAGTTGTTTGAGTACATAGAGTGGCCAGTCGACTAGTCAACTTGATGATGACGATTCTGTCCGTGGCAGCCATGGTGCAAAACAAGTGATGGATACAACAGAGCTAGGTGACTAATAGGTCGTGCGTTCTAAATTGGGAACTTAGTGGCACGACACGAGGCAGCACCCACGTCTCCTGCTAGCTGTGTCTACTGCCGGTAACAGCTGTTAAGTTATGACGGGTGATTACCACGCGCTGTTATTATCAAATTACCTGAAAGTTAATTAAGTTGTTACCTACGGCAGCTCTGTGTGAGTCGCTCTGTTCGTCCATATCCATCCCCTCGAACATTGAAAAGTTAACAAGCTTGGTGTCTGTTGGAAGGTATTAGGTGTGCGTGGGTCGGTACTCTGCCGGAAGTTTGTCCCGCTCCACCGTCCGCAGGCCTGAGGTCATCGCTGTGATCTCAGGCTGGCGAGATTGGTTCTGGTGTACGGTTTCAGCCGCCCGCACGGGGGTGGCGTCACATATTTGTGATATATGGATATGTTTCAGATATTTCATACGGTCTGCAAATAGTGACTTCACAGTTTGGTGACGTCATAACGTGTTTCAGGTCCTTGATTTGGGCCCGGCATCCGTGTCGTCACTCCCATTTGATGACGTAACGTTGGCGTGTTTCAGGCTTCGGATAGCATTCAGTCAGGACTGACGTCACTCCTGTTTGATGCCGTAACGATGGTATGTTTCAGGCCTCTGACAGGATCCAGCTGAATCTGACGGCCATCAGCTCCAAGGTAGCCAACGAGAACTTCAAGAACCTGGCCACCATCTCTAGAGCGATGTGCGACAAGGGAGGCATCGTCACTACGCACCCGCTGGAGAAGTAAGGTGGCCACCTGACGGCGACCCCGTCAACTACAGCCGCCGAGGCGCCGCACAGAGGGCAGTGAGGCGTAGGTGGCCCAGTTCGGTACCGGTATATCGGATTTATAGCGGCTTGAGAATCGCTGGCAGACGTTAGTCCACTGAAAGGTCTATTCTGAAAGGAAATGAAATCAAAGCCGATTTTAGCGTGTGTATAGTGTATATGATCACAGATCAGTGTATATTTGGATTATATTTGAACGAATATCTGTATAAACGGTTGAATATAATATCATGGATTTTGTGAGCATTGTAGGCCAAATTTCGAGGTCCTTTCTGCATTCATAGTTAATTTTCTTTCTGATCGGCTTCAAATTATCGATGGCGATTATTGGTTGAGAAATGGTTTTCACTTTTATCGATATAAGGTGTACTTCAAATGCCGCATTATTCTGCATAATGCTGCGCGTATGAACGGATGCGAGGAATGGTTGTTGAAGCAATTATCAATGCAAGCAGTACTCATTCTTTGGTCAGTTGCCACTCAAGCTGAGTTTTCCCTATTATTTAGTGCTAATATCGCTAAAAAGGCCGCCTGATTTTCTTTCTCTGATATTGGTCTTTAGTTTCCGCCTATCATTTGCTTTTTCGTTTGTGTGCGGGTTTTGGACCGTCGCTATTTACCGAATCGTGTAAGGTCTCCTCCCACGGAGCCTGCCCGGCGAAGTGTGCTGTGTCTGTGCTCTTTGGGATGTTGCTGTGTGTTGCCGTCCGTCGGAGAGGGTACAGTCGTACCCTGCGGACGCTGTACCGTGCTGCATCAATACAGATTCAGTAGTTTTTACCGTGGTTTGATGGTGAAAGGATTGGGAAAGAAAAAACGGCAGATGCCAACACAAGCACGATTGTTACACTGCAAATGCATTTCGTTTGTGAAATAGTAATTAGTAAGCATTCGGTAGCTGTTGGAAGCACTGCCCGAACACAGAGGCTCCCAAGGGCTGCGAAAGCAATCGACGCCAAAGTTGACCTCGCTGACCTTGACCAAATGGATCGTCCCGCCGCACGCATACTGTCATTACACCGTCTGTCTGCTGTCCGGTGGCAGGCTCGGGAGCACACCTATCACGTGACTAAGCGCTTCTGTGTCATTGTTCACCGGGGCAGGAGCGGCCCCAGTCAAAGGCGCATGACAGCTCAAAAGTGAAAATGGATTACAGACGGTCATGCAATGATCATTCCAGCAAGATTTTCGTATGAATCACGTCACGAAGATTTCTGAAATTGTCTTCACGTTATGTGCCGAGGGAGTTTCTGCTATCTATCTTCTAAGCGTGTGGTGTTCACAGTACGCGTTGACCTCTAACGCCTTAGCTGCCGGGCCCGGGTGTGTTCCCTTTACCGTGACCCCATCTGGGTCCGTCGTGGGGTGAGGTAAAGTCAACTGCCCCCCCCCCCCCCCCCCCGCCTGTGGCGGTACGGCACTGAAGGCTGACGAAATCGCCATTCCTGGGTGGGGTCGGGCCCGGCACTGATGGTACGGATCTTGCTGAGCTCACAAACACTGAGTGACGGATGCTAATGGGTTCAAACTCGGCTCCAGCTCCGTGGTCTGTGTCTGTTGAGCTGCTTGTCTGGCCAGAGGCTGTTCCATGTATCCGTGAACTAAAATTTCGTCTTATCTCCAGCATAGTACCTATAAACGCACAATTAAGCCAGGGAGCCCGTTGGCATCGTCTTAACATCGTCACAGTCAGCTACGCTGTTAAGAAAGCACGTACATTTATGGCTATGAAACACGAGGAGCAAAACAAATTTCACACTATCCTTTCCCACCCAGCACATGCATCTACGTGAACTCATCGGACCTGCCTCGCCGCCGCCACCGCCGTCTCTATATCGTTAGGACACCGTCTCCAGAACGAACTACGAGTAAGTATCTTGGAACGATCTACCATACCAAATTCATCGCCGACGCCTCTCCGTTGCTGGGTAGCAACGAACCACGAATGGACGCAACATGGGCGCGGTTGTCAGGAAGGGCACCCTGCATTAGCGAGTCGTTTACGTTGTGGCAATTGTGCCATGGCTTGGTCGCGCGAGTCATACCGGGCGGCTAAACACGAGGTCACGAGGACAGGTCCATGGGTGTGAAAAAGAGGGGGTGTGAGGCGTGAGCTCATGTCATTCGTGAAAAGCAGAGGCTCGGCAAGGATTGCGTATTTATACAAATTTACAATACACAGTTGCATCATACAAGCACTGACGGCACATGGATATTTAGTAATGAACGATTAGTTTTGAGAAATTCGCAATATATAGCAGTAGTTTGACATCAAATAGGAACCGACGCATTGCTCGTGCCGTGCATCCGCTAATTCCGTCATAAGTCATTGATGTCAGACATATCATCCACTTCAATCTGCTTACACAAAGGCTCTATGACGGAATTGAAATGCATCTGGGACACCGGGAGCCTGCTTTGAAATGCATATCGAGCCGCCGGCCATCTATAGCTAATCGCTCGGAGCTCGGAGGCGGTTCGGGCGGGCTGGGGGTGCAGCTCGGGTTTGTGAGGTCCGGCTGCCGGTTACGTGGCTACGTAGTTACTCGTTCCGATAGCCAGGAGTGCCGTCTTCAACTGGTACCGGCCGCGTGTGTGAGATGCCTGACAAATAACTCGGTTTTGAGTACGGCCTGCCGACCGGCATAGAAGCGCTGCATGATCGACAGGCATCTCGGCGATGCGAGTTGAGATGGTTATCCTGGCTATGGCGCGCCGTATGACTTCTGTGTGCGCTGTGCAATGTGCATCACGGGGTGCACAGTCTCTGTGCTAGCTCGTCGATGGTGGCCACCAGCGGGAGTGTTGCCACAGTGGTATCGTGGGCGGTCAGCTCTCCGCAGGGGCGGATCCAGGAAAACTCCAAGGGGAGGGTCATGAATCGAAGTGGTGCCCCTACCTATACCCAAAATTAAAAACTCAACGGATTTCGTCCACTTCATTTTGGTGGTGCCCCCATTTTCAGTTTTTTTCTTTTTATTTTTTTTTTAGTCAGTATCTTAACTCTTAGCCACAACCACATTTACCAATTGTAAGCAAGTATATATGAATGTGCTATGTGTACGCTGTGGACGCTGAGTAATGAGTACTTACCAGGAACGTTATCAGGTAAGCAAATCGTTGTCAGTCCGACGAACTTGACCCTGGCGTCTAAAGGGTCTGTCCTTGACACTTCAGGCTTGTCAGGGGCACCAAAGTCCTTCCAGGGACACCACAAACCTGCCAGGGGCACCTACGGCCTTGTAGGGGCGCCACAGGCCCGCCAGGGGCACCACATGCCTGCCAGGAAGCAGGGGCACCGCAGGTCTAGCAAGTACAAGTACACGACAGGCCTGTCAGGGGCACAACGGGCCTGTTGGGCCCATGAGCACCCCTAGGGGCAGGGGCACCACAGTCCTTCCAGGGGCACCGCAGGCCTGTGAGGGGCACCAGCGGCCTAGCAGGGGCACCAGTCAACACAGGCCTGCCAGGGGCACCACAGGCCTGCCAGGGGCACCAGAGGCCTGCCAGGGGCACCAGAGGCCTGCCAGGGGCACCAGAGGCCTGCCAGGAGCACCACCGACCTCGCAGGGGTAACTTGGGCATGTCAAGGCACAGGGGCACCACTGGCCTGTCGAGAGGCACTTCAGGCTTTTCAGGGGCACCATAGTCCTCTCCGGGCGCAGGGGTAGCAGGGGCACCAGAGGCCTGCCAGGGGCACTGCAGGCCTAGCAAGGGCACCACTGGTCTATCAGGGGCACCACGAGCCGCCTGTCATAGCCAGGCATCTCAAGCTTATCAAGGCCCAGGGGCACCACAGGTCTGTGAGGGGCACCAGCGACCTAGCAGGGGCACCAGTCAACACAGGTCTGCCAGGGGCGCCACAGACCTGCCAGGGGCACCACAGACCTGCCAGGGGCACCAGAGGTCTGCTAGGGGCACCACCGGCCTCGCAGGGGCACCTTGGGCCTGTCAGGGTCACCACGGGTCTGCCGAGGGGCACTTCAGACTTTTCAGGGGCACCAGTCCTCTCCGGGCGTAGGGGTACCAGCGGCCTAGCAAGGGCACCAGAGGTCTGCCAGGGGCACCAGCGGCCTAGCAAGGGCACCAGAGGCCTGCCAGGGGCACCACAGGCCTAACAAGGGCACCACGGGCCTGTCAGGGGCACCTCAGGCTTGTCAGGGCCCAGGGACACCACAGTCCTTCCAAGGGCACCGCAAGCCTGTCAGGGGCACCAGAGGCCTGCCAGGGGCACCACAGGCCTAGCAAGGGCACCACTGGCCTGTCAGGGGCACCTCAGGCTTGTCAGGGCCCAGGGGCATCACAGTCCTTCCAGGGGCATTACAAGCCTGTCAGGGGCACCAGAGGCCTAGCAAGGGCACCACAGGCCTGCCATGGACACCACAGGCCTGCCAGGGGCACCGCCGGCCTTGCAGGGGCGCCTCAGGCCTGTCAGGGGCACCACGTGCCTGCCGGGGACACTTCAGGCTTGTCAGGGGCGTTACAGTCCTGTCAGGGCCCAGGGGCACCAGGCCCGTGGTGTCCCTGCTAGGCCTGTGGTGCCCCTGGCGGTCCTGTGGTGCCCCTGGCGGTCCTGTGGTGCCCCTGTCAGGACTGTGATACCCCTGATAGGCCGGTGGTGCCCCTGGCAGGTCTTTGGGCCCCCGGGCCTCAAGGGGGGGGGGGCCATGACCCATGTGACCCCCCCCTTGGATCCGCCCCTGGCTCTCCGAGCCATCGATCTGTGAGAACCATAAGATCCGCATCTCCGTCTTATGGGAGCTTCGCAGCCCCGTCAAATGGGAGACCCACAGCTCCGTCTAATGGGAGATTTGCAAGCCAGTCTAAATAGGTGATCCGACGCTTCGTCTAATGGGAGATTCACAGCTCCGTCTAATATCAGACCCACAGATCCGTCTATCTAATGGGAGACCCACGTCTCCGTCTAACGGTATAGATCCGCAGCTCCGTCTAATGGGAGCTCCGCAGGTCCATCTAATGGGAGATTTGCAAGCCCGTCTAATGGGGGATCCGCTGATCCGTCTAATGGGAGATTTGCAAGTCCGTCTAATGGAGGATCCGTAGCTTCGTCTTCTGGGAGACTCACAGCTCCGTCTAATGGGAGATCCACTGGTCCGTCTAATGGGGGATCCGAAGCTTCGTCTTACGGGAGACGCACAGCTCCGTCTAATGGGAGATCCGCAGCTCCGTCTTATGGGGGCTTCGCAGCTCCGTCTAATGGGAGATTTGCAAGCCCGTCTAAATGGGGGATCCGACGCTTCGTCTAATGGGAGATTCACAGCTCCGTCTAATATCAGACCCGCAGCTCCGTCTAATGGGAGACCCAAGTATTCTTCTAATAGGAGATTTGCAAGTCCGTCTAATGGCAGATCCGCGACTTCTTCCAGTGGGAGACCCACGTCTCCGTCTAACGGTAGATCCGCAGGTCCATCTAATGGGAGATTTGCAAGCCCGTCTAATGGGAGATCCGCTGGTCCGTCTAATGGGAGATTTGCAAGTCCGTCTAATAGGGGATCCGAAGCTTCGTCTAATGGGAGACTCACAGCTCCGTCTAATGGGAGATCCGCTGGTCCGTCTAATGGGAGATCCGCAACTCCATCTAATGTGAGACCCACATCTCCGTCTAATGGGAGATCTGCAGCTCCGTCAAATGGGAGACCCACAGCTCCGTATCTAATGGGGTATCCGAAGCTTCGTCTAATGGGAGACTCACAGCTCCGTCTAATATCAAATCAGCAGCTCCGTCTAATGGGAGATCCGCAACTCCGTCTAATGGGGGATTTACAAGTCCTTCTAATGGGAGATTCGCAGCTGGCCGTCTAATAAATCCGCAGTTTCGTCCAACGCAGTTCCTTACTTTAGGGGAACCGGAGCTCCGTCTCAAATAAGATTTGCACTCTGCAGCTCCGTAAAGTAGGGGACTCAGGCCCAACGTGTTATGGAAACCAACAAGTTCCGTCTGACAGGAGACTCGCTGCTCTGTATAAAAGGATATCTTCAGCTCTGACCAACATACCTTCGTGTACGTACGGCGTACCTCAGAATAACCCGCATCTCCTAATGTACTATGTACGTACGGTCGTACCTACGTGGGACCTCAGCCGGCTCTGAGCTGTGCGCCCATCGGAAGTTTGAAAGTGTTTACCGCCCCCCCCCCCCTCCCCCGCATGTAGGTAGTCATTTCAGGCTGTATTCAATGCATTCCAGAAAACTGAAGAATGTCGGATATTTTGAGTGTTCTGTTCATGTACCTCAATCCCATTAAAAAAATTAAATGTTATTATTTTATGGCAGATGGCTTCGGACGACACAAAGAAAGCATGCAAACAATCTTGCTGCGGCCAGGTGGAAGACGTTATGTTAATGATAATGGTACAGAAACGTCTGACATCGTGAATGCCTTGCTGCTCGTCAGGAATATCTCCGTACGATCTCATTGAAGCAGCAGCCGTAAAGGCAGATAATGGAATGTGGCATGGTGGTTTGAAACATCGAACGAATGGTGCACCTTTTGCGCGACTAATTTGCGCGACTAATCAGCTAGGTATTGCAATTTCGATTAGGAGATTCCGTTTCTTAATTAAAAGGAACTTCCGTACCTAAAGTAACAAGAATGTGATGAATTGAATAATGACGAAAACGATGCTAGTTAGTACAAGAAATAGGAAACATTGATTGAAGCTGGCTGACGTTCTTGCCAAAAAAAAAAAACTGACAATAATAACTAGGCAAAGCCTAGTTATTTCTTACATTTGGTCATTTTATTTTCATACAGGTCATACCTATAAGGTCATCTTAATTCGCTTTTTTCTCGCCGACACTGGACCATACCGTATGAGCTAAAACATCAGGCATGGTAACTTAAATACGAAGCGAAAGGGTTTTGCAGGACCTATAGAATGCGTCCCTTGCGACCATGTTTATCTGGTTCACGGGTAATGCGCTGTTCATGCAAAACATAAAAAATGGGAAATCGGGAAAATTTGACAAGGGTATTTTACCTACATATCCTTCGTGACCTCCTACTACTAATAGCTCTTACACCTTTTCCTATAATAGTCCTTATTTTATTGTTAATTGTTTTCCATCTGTCTAAGCTAAGGTTCTTGAGCTAACAAACCGTGTTTGGTCAAAAAGGCCATCGCTATGGCGAGGTTTGCTGAGACCCACACCCGGGCCGGGTTAAAAGGGATTATCCCACCTCCTAAAATGTTGTTAAAACCAGTTAAATTGTGCCCGACTTTATAGATTGGATGACCAGGAACACGGTTCTGGCATTTATTTTCCATTAAACATCTTAGGCTTCCCATATTCCAAACACAAACTTTCAAATATGTGACGTCACAACCCAAAATTACCTCCTTCCCCAGGCCACATTACTGTCATAAAGCTGATTCTTTTTACTCTGTAGGCACCACAACAAAGTTCAGACCAAGTTTTAAGCGATTTTTCAACGAACAAACCCATTTAAATCAGAATGACTAAACGAGGTGACGTCACACTAACGGTTGCTCCATGTTGAAGATAGGGCCTTGTACAAGGCCCATTTTCAAATGAAGGGAACGAATTTCTTCAATACCAAGAGGCCGCGGGGGTTGCAACCTAGATAGATAGTGGTTTCTGAACCTCGCCGCAAACTTGGCTATCTCAACTCAAACCCCATGTTGATGGTGGGATAGTCCCTTTAAGCTATTGGTCTGATGCGGCCCAATCATCGTCTTCTTAATAACTGAATATATTTAATGATTTTTACTTTAAAGGTATTCCGAGAAAATACTAGGTATCCCCGACGATGTCCCATTACCCAACCCAACTCCCAAGTCATTCATGACATTGACCAGTTAACACCCCAAATGTCAATCATCCCATTTAGGTGCCTTTGGACTTCAGCGCGCTGTAAACACCGTCTAACATCGCGGGGTGGCGAAACAAGGTTAGTTAGGGAACAAAACCCATTCATGAGCCGCATAACTCCTCTCCAGGTCAAAACACAATTATCGTGGTGGGTGCCGGGCGGTGGGTGCCGTCTCCGTCTGTCACCTGTCACTCGGTCCGTCATCAGTCAGTACGGTCCGGCCCGGTCCGTCTCGCAGCCCCCCCCCCCCCCTCCCCGCCCGCTGCGCTGCCATTGAGTGACCCCTGGAGAAGGCGCCGCTCGCCCCGCCCCCTGAAACGCGCCGCCCTTTGGTTGGATGCACCTCCCATTGTTTCGACACGCTATCGAATGGTGTCTCGGTGAGCGCAGAGCCGCACGACATGAAGGGCAAAAACACGTCCTCAGCGGCCGACGACCGGCCGAGAAAGGGCGGCGAGCTGCACAAAGCGCCATTTATTGGCAATTAGTACTGGGTGCCATGGGTGGGGTGGGCGGATCCAGCCGATGGGGCATCCAGCAGCCGCCCGCGCAGCACGGACCCACACAAAAGTCGCCCGCTTGCCGCCCCCGCTAATTATAAGTGCCCCTCTCATGGCCGTTCCAATTTCGCGCCCCGAAACTTGGCGTCACTAATGTTAGCGACGGCGCTGCAAACAGACACACCAATTTGATTGGCAAGCAAGTATCTTCACCATTCCCATTCTTCCTACACTTCATTTGCCACTTTCCCTAGACGTCGCTCTCACCTATCGCTAACATTTCACTCCGCCAACATTGGCGCGGCGGTCCCTTGATCGTGAAGCCGACGAACCAGTGAGGGCGGCCGTCACAGACACAACACCGCTCGGCGGCGCGCGGTGGCCAGCCAGTCGTCCGTTGGCAGTTGAGGGGTGGGTGTCGCAGCGCGCGCTCCGAGAGACCGGACTGTCTGTTGGTGTTTACTTGCGTTCAGATGGCCTCTGCGATGGCTGCTGTGCTCTGGCTGATGCTGGTGAGTACGATGGAGAGAATGAGCATTGTAAGAGTGTGCTGGCTTGGTGATGACGGTTGAACTTGTCTTTTTCGTTGGTTATTTCCGTGTATGATTTTCTTCGCTGTGGATTGCTCTTGATCCTAATTAAATTCCGTGTTTGTGTGTCATTGATGAGGCTCAAAGTGAAACGTAAATTAAAACATAGTTTTAATGAATCTGCAGTGCCTGAGGGATTTTTAAAATTGATCGTGACCGTCTCGTCTCGGTAACAAACTATGTAACATTGCACATTACACATTCACCTCTACGGCTTACTGAAACAAGGTTACCTACTGGAGTTTTTCGCCGGGAATATGCCGTATTATATTGAAAACATTTAAATCGTTTGGGATCTAAATTCAAGAAAAGTGTACATTCTTCGGGACCGTTTTGACCTCTACTGTATTTCTTCTTTGGTCCCTGCGGGCTTACCCGCCACAAAAATATAGTTTCTCAATGTCATCGTACTCGCATGATTCGCAGATACAAAGCGGCATGTGCGTGATGCTGTTTCACTCCATGCTTATCAACGGGATACCTTTCTATGCGGTTAACTTGAGGTTTGTGTGGCGCTGTTTTTTTTTACGGTGTCAGTGTAAGCTTCCCGTGCTGTTCATTCATTGTCATTCTCCTTTTGTTCATTGCCAAGAGTGCAATTCGGGACATTAGAATTCTCATGAATAGATCCATGCCTAAAGATGGAAAGTTATTTCTTCGGGCAGCTGTCGTACTTACCTACTACTCATTCCTCACTGATGTGTAAAATGAAATTGATTTGAAATGAGACCCTGCAGCTGCGGTTGATAAAAAGAAGTGTTCTTATTTAGTGCGTTTGCTCAATCTTATTGCTCATGTTAATCTTCGCGTTACCTTATTCAGTCGAGTTTCTGTTCAAAGCAAAAACAACCCTGTTTGCATGCATTCCGCCATCGTTTTACGTATAAGGCAGAAAGACTCGCCGCATAGAGTAGCTGCGGCACTTTGGCTGGTAGGTAAACCCTCGAGTGTGCATCTTTGATCGGGCTCAAACTCGCGCACACCCGCCAATCCGGGACTCTCGACCTGTGTTGACGGCAAACACTCGACAGACGTGTCTCGCATGTGTGCCTCGCGCTGGCGTCTCACCGGGCGCCGTGTGCCTCCGGTGAGACAGTGAGACACGACGGCCGAGTGAGACATACACTGTCGTGATCAGGCGCCATATCCCAGTAATTTATCACCGCGTACGGCGTCCATACAAAGTAACTGGCCGGCGTGCAATTGCATTGCTTAATTCGCTGACTAATTAAAAAGGCCGTTTCTGGGAGTCCGTGATAAGGCAGCGTAATTACATGGCTTCTCTCCGGCTATGAAGTTGTGCTTTGTTTGGCATGACAGCTGCTGCTGTGCCATGAAATAGTTTCCTCATTTTTCTCCCTCACGCAATTTTCGCTGATATTGTCATTGAGGAGATTCATTCGGCTTCGCAAGCGGTTTGATCTCTCTCAATCTCGGATTGTGGCCGTCTGTTGAGCTTAAAGTCTATTAAAGTCGTCGGCAGATGGCTTTAAGATGTTTATTTGGCCATGAAATTCACGGTGTGATGGCTGGTAGTGCAGACGAAATTACATCGCTAAATCGTGTGTTATATTACGCGGTGCGGTCGCCACTCGCTGTGGCCCGGCGAATGTAATCCTTCAGCGCTGAGCCCCAGGGGGCTTCCATTTGACTGGTAGGTATCACAATACCGGCTAATTGACGGCTGGTAGCATGAAATTATTGTCATACATCAATGCGGTGCGTTTTTACCTGTACTACAGCGATTTCCGTTTGTGAGGTAATTGCCTCGCTGTTTCTGCAGCGTATCGGCATAGATCAAAAGTGTCAGCAAAATGTTTGCAGGCAAAAATGTGCAACCTCTGGATGTTACAGAGTGCGCTCGAGTTGAAAACCAGTTTTCCGGCGTATGGTGCACTGATACAAGTATTACTTGTAAAACTGGAATCTCCAATACGTTCTGGGTGGTGCATTGTGTCGCCAAATGCGGTTTGCAACTTTGCAGATCGATCACTGGAAATTACGCACATCGACTGGAACAGATGACGTTGACGCATGACATCCGTTTTCTGGTGCCCAAGGAATGTTCGCCATTCCGTATGCCAGTTACCGTTACAAGGCTGCCTGATATACCTACAGCCCCGGGCCGAGTCCATCAGTGCAGACGGGTATCGGTCTGTGTTTTGTCGGCCTGTTTTGATTGCCTGCTCGGGGCAGGTGTGCAGGATCACTGCACGACGTCTGCGTGTTGTCCGAGTGTCGGTGACGGCGCGGCCGGCAGCTGCCGGACGGCCTGTCTACGTGTCGCCGCGGCCACCCGCCGGCTGCGCTGTCCCCCCGGATGGCTCCCATCTGCCCCCCTGTCCCCCTGTCCCCCTTCACCCCCTGCCCCAGTCGGACGGTCTGAGGTTCTGACAGTGGGCGGGGGCCACACCACTCACCACCATCCAGCGATCCAGCGACTGCAGCCATGCCGATGTGTCGATGCGTCGATGCCCTCAAATGGAGCTCGGAATGGGTACATTAATGCACCATGATGCTATGCGTGCCGCGGTGGGTGCCGCGGTGGGTCCCGGAATGGGTGCCGCGCCATGCTGATGTGAAACTAGGACGGCAGACACGCGCTCCTAGCGCTGGACAGGACGTGAACCTTGAACTGCGGGTCAGGGTCCGTCCTCTCCTGTCTTATACAGACGACCGAGCCGAATGCCTCTACCTATACGATGTCATGGAAGAACTCTAGGCAAAACGGGCAGCGGTTCTTTCATATGTAGCATGTTTGTGTGCTGAAGATAGCCGACGACGCAGCGATGTAAAACCACTAACCGGATACAGAAATGATGTCACTGAGACATTTGGCCATACCTTGTCTGACATCCATGATCTCGTCACCGATGATCGGGCATTTATGTTGCAAGACTGCTGTTGTTTCTTTCATTCATATACCCATCCATCATGCATGGATCATGCAGCAGACAGTGCCACCATGAGACTCGTCAGTGGGACTGGTCCATCGGCCTCCGAGACCGCCTTCATCATACTCGACCGCTCACGTGCTCGACCCGGGATAGGCTGTCCCAGCCTGCCGTCTGCGAGGCGTGCGGCAAGCCCGTCAGAGAGCCATGAACGCTTCACGAGCTGGAGCGGCGCGCGATGGAGCCACCCGAGGGCCCGCCTCCGGCCGCCGCTGCACCTCCGCCCCGACCGCCCTTAATTAAGTAACACTGATTGTCATAATTAGTATGATAATCCAGCGCTCGTTCCGCGCCAAGAAGCGCCGCAGGTGGGGTGCGCCGCTGCACGTCGCTCCGCGCCGGGTTTGCAGCGGCGCGGCGGCCGGCGAGCGGGGCAGACTGTGCGGCCGGCCTGCCGACCGCCGATTCCGTGACAGCACGGACGCACAGTGGCACTCGAACACCGGCTGCAGTCCAGCGCTGACCGCCCGCAGTCGGCCGATACAGGCTCTGTCGACGTGCTGATGGATGGCGCTTTGTCGGAGCCGAGCCGGCCCGGCGCAGCTGACAGCGTGATGCATTGCAGCGGATTAGCCGAGCAATGTTCCGCTTCAAAGAGTTACGTCGGCCTCCTGGATTCACTCAGCCGCCTATTTCACGAACGATTTGTTTATCGGCCGGCGATTGGTTGAAATTTGACGCCGGAGACGGTTGTAAGGTATGCCGCAGCCGGCGCCGTGGTGCTGGTCCGGCGTCGTGCTCGGTGACTGCGCTCTGCTGGCCATTTTCGGAGCGTGTTCACGCCAGTCATCCGATGATCGTTTGCGGCCAGCTCAGTTAATGGAGATGTTGGATGGGTGATGCTGGGAACATCCAGCGGGGAAGATTCATCGAGTCGGATTGGCTCGAAGCTCCACCCTTTTGGCCAGACGGGCTGCCCGCGTCGTGTATATCCCGACTCTCGGCCACTCGACTTAGCTTTCTTGACTCTATGTACTCGCGCCCTACTCGACTTGACTCGACTCGACTCGACTTGACTCTACTCTACTCGTGCTCGTCTCTACTCGACTGGCTTGGGTAAGTCGTGACTCGTGGGTCCCGGAGAGGCCGATACCTATGTCAGCAGGACTGTCGGTCAGTTTCACTCACTGTAACGGCGCCGGTCGGCTAACGCTAAGTAAACTGGCCGAATTACCCAGACGGGGCTTGAAAGACGCCTAAGAGACAGACAGCGGACGAGGCTTCAGTTCGCAGTTTAGCAGCCGTCGGAAGTTCCGAATTTCTGCTGATTTCAATAGCAGTGATGTGTGAAGTGCTGACGACAGCTGTCGGAAGCTGTCTCATAAGACTGGTGGCCTCGATTGACGATACTTCTAAACGTTGCAGTTCCAAGAGATCTGAAACCCGCGTGACGGCACCGAACGTGTCGCGTCATGCCAGTGGCTGATGTCTGATGAAATTCAGGCGATGAGTGACGGGTTCAGCTTGCAATGTCACTGACATGTATTGTTTCGTCACGTTCGTTTTTTTTTTAATTTTTGGGACTGCACACAGTTGACATAACTTAATGTTACTGAGCTGAAAATGAGGGCACATCTTCTGTAACCTATAGAGTCAAAATAACCCACCTGTTGGCTGTTGATTCGTCAAAAGCTTCGCCTTGTTTCTCGAGACGCCCTCAGAGTCCCCAGTGGGCTGTACCTCAAGCCACAGCTTTCAGAGCCCTAGCTCCGTGTAATTATCCCCTACTGTCCCCTGCCGAATCCTCTGCTAACGGTTCGGAGATCCCACCGTCACCGCCGTGGGCCAGACAGTCGGATGACGCCATCGCCGAGCCTGCATCTGGCGCCCGCTCTGCGTGGTGGTGGCTCCTCCGGTCCCGTCCCGTCACGCCGCCTCCCTCCGACCTCGTCCCCCCGGCCTGAGAGTCGCATCGCGTGCAGAGTGAGCCCTCCTCCCTCCTCCCTCCCGCCGCCCCGCCGCCGAGCC